GGGTGACCAATGAATAAATGAATGAGCAACTGAGTAGCCAGAGCAGGGCAAAGAAGTATTTCACTCGATCCCCCAACTCTAGTCCTGTCCCCGGATATTTCAGCACATGGTGGTGGGTTGGCTCCAAATCCCCGTCCTCCTCCCCTCTTCACTCAGCAGCCTATCTGCCTCACTCCTCTTTAAGTTTCATCTTTCCCTTCTCCCTCCTCGCTCTGAATCCTGCCCCCTCAAGACCCCTCCAGGGCCTCTCTTTCTGTACGTCTGCCGCCATCCCCGTGATATTTTTCACCCTCCCCTCAGTGCTGCAGGGAACTCTTTGAGAACAGAAATAATATTTTATCAATCTTGTGTCCTCAGCCTCTACTGGTGGCCACATTTGATAAACACTGGCTGAATGAAGGAGCGAGTGATGAAGGTGGTGCTGTCCCAGCTTCTTGCTTCACCTGACAAACCCACTGAAGGCGGGATGCATTCTCTTCAGTACCAACCACTCATGGCCACTGCGGGCCAGTTCCATACCAGGCACCCTTCCTCACTCCCTGCCCTCCCTCCCAGCTTGCCCCCACACGTGAGCATTTTCCTGGATGGTTTGCTGGCCTCCCCCCTCAGCTTCAGCCGCCCTCCACCTGTGTGTTGATGTGTTTACAGATGTCCAGCCAGCTGCTCTCCCCCAACTACAGTATGGTCCTGGGTGCAGAGCACTTATGGGCTCTATTTGACTTAATCCTACAACCCCATTGAGGAGAGGTTACTATTAGCTGAAGAAAACAAGGCCCTGCGAATTTTGGTGATGAGTCCAAAATCATACCTCTAAGTAGCAGGGCAGAGATTCAAACCAGGTGTGCCCCAATCTCAGGCCTATCATACAAATAACCACCAGACCAGACCGTCTGGACATCTCAAGCACTCTAAACTCGCAAATCACACACCAGACGCCAGGGTGCCTGTTTGTTAAAAGTGAGGAAGAAAAAGTGGACCTTTCCCCTTCGACGTGTTTGTCTCACACAGCACACCCTCAGGAGTGCTACTCCTATCCACCTAGCTGCACAGGCCAGAAACCTGAAAGGCACCTGGGTCTCTCACTCCCCAAACACATCCAATCCAAAAACCAATTTTGTCCATTCCGTCTCTAAATATCTCTTGACTCCATCTACTTCTCCACATTCCTCATTATCAGTACCTGAGTTCTGGCCACCACCATCTCTAATCACAAAGGTTTCTCCCCCTCCTCCTCCTTTGGTCTTGCCTCTGTACAAAGTGCCCATCTCAGTGCTCTCTCTAAAACATAAATCCGAAGATATCATTCTCTTGCTTAAATTCCTTCAGTGGCTTAGGATAACTTTGTCCGCAGGATAACTTCCTCAGATTCTTTAACTTTTCTTGAAGGCAATTACACTCTCTAGTCACCAAGACCTTTTGCACACACTTTTCCTCTTGCCTAGAACACTCTCCTCTCCTCTTTTCTAGCCCCTTCATCCTGCTGACAACCTTCTTTGAGCGCTCTTTCGCCCCCTGGGTTAGTTACTCCTGATGTGCGCTTCCGCCTACTGCTCACATTTTATCAGTTAACACACCGCTTTGTAATTGCCTGTTCACTTGACTCTCTACCTCACTAGACAGTATGATCATTAAGTTGTTCGTCCTTTTATTAACTGACCAAATATGTATTAATTGTTAACTATGTGCCATAGTTACATACATACATACAAGATATAGACCTTGCCCTCAAGAACAGGAAGTATCTTTTCTTCTTTCGGGACTCGGCATCTCACAGCAGTAGACTCAAACTGTTTGTTGAACGAGCGATCGAACGTGCCCGGACGAGCCGGCGGGGCCGGGCGGACTTCTGGGAATCGTAGTCCCCGAGTTCGGACCTCTCTGTATGGCGCAGGCGTATTCAGATCCAGGCGGTTTTGCTATTAATGCGCATGTCCCGGGGGGAGGGGAGAGTGGTGGAACTGCGCATGTCTAAAGGGTGGGGGTGAGGCTGAAAAGGCGGTGCACTGCGGAGGCGGGGCTTCGGTGGCTTCAGGTGGTCTGGGCAGCTCTGTGCCTGGCTGTGAGGATGGCGGGGAGGGGGAAGCTCATTGCGGTGATCGGAGACGAGGACACGGTGACTGGCTTCCTGCTGGGCGGCATAGGGGAGCTTAACAAGAACCGCCAGCCTAATTTCCTGGTGGTGGAGAAAGATACAACCATCAATGAGATCGAAGACACTTTCCGGTACGGTGGCCCACGAGGTCCGAACGAGACCCTCTCCTGTGTGTGCGCGGGGAGAAGGTGGGGGCGGCGCGGGGACCAGGCGGGCGGGGTCAGCGCTGGGCTTCCAGAGCCCGGCCGAGGGTCAGATCCCGACCTCGAGGGTCAGGGAAGTCCGTCCGCCCGCTCTTCTGGAGCGGAGGCCTCCGCGTCCCAAGTTCCCTTTTTGGGGCTTGGTGGGGCCGGGGCTGCGTCGGGTCCACGAGCTTCCCCTCACATGACCGTGTGTCAGGAAAGAAGGGGAAAAGAACTCGTGACAGGCGCCGCCCCCCGCCGCGGTAGCTGGGCGTCCAGAGCGTCCGGCCTCCGGAGGGGGCCAGTCTCAGCGCCTCCTCAGGGGTTCCTCCAGTTCACCTGTAGAGCAGGCTCCCGGCATTGGCCTTGGAATCACTCGACTCTTTTGCTAATTGATCCTTAAAGGAACCACACACTCAGTGAACACCTAGGCGGTGGTCTCGGGCTTTCTTGTATTTGTAACTTCCTAAGGCTCACAATCACCCGTAAGGTGCGGGTTATTATTCCCACTTACAGGTGAGAAAACTAAAGCTCAGATAGGTTAAGGCACATACCAAAGTCACACCATTTGGAAGAGGCAGAGTGGAGATTTGAACCCAGTGCTAACCTTTCCTGCCTCTCTTAAGCCAGGTCCACACTCTGCTTGTGCAGCTCTCCTCAGTCTGCCTTGGAATTTCCCATTGTATTGAGCACAGTGGGTAGAGTATAAGGACTCTGTCCTACCTTCTGCTAAGACCTGGCACTTGAAGTCCTCATTTTCTGCCCTGGGTCAAGAGTGATAGCGTCAAGGTGTGGGTGCAGGCATGTTCCTTAATCCAGGACGTGTTCTGGTGACTAGAATTGAGGATGCCAGCCTCCTCTTTCCCTCACCCCTTCTCTAGGGCCTCTGTTGCCAAGTCTCAGGAACAAACCACTCTGATCTGTTTCCCCCTAAACAGTCGGGACCTGAGCTGCCAGCTGAGACTGGTTCCTGCTGCCTGGGGTATGATAGGCCCTGACCTGGGAGGCTGATCTCTAAGCAGTTTAGTAAAATGACCCAAGTTGTCATGGGAGAAGGACAAATTTTACTCCAAGAACTTTCCATGTCTCCAACCAAAGGAGACCTCAGAGATCAAGTCTAACCTCCCCCAATGCCTGGCACAGAGTGGGTGCTCAGTAAATAGTTTTTAATGAGTAAATAAATTAATGAATGGGTGGGTGATCACAAGAAAGGAAGATCCGGTGCCAAATTCTCTTTGTACAGAAAGTGTGATTCCTTTGTTACTGATTTTCCTCTTTTGCTGTGTTCTTGGCTCGTGCCAAGCTTCCCCTCTGCACATCAGCAGCAGCATAGACCTTGAGGCCTGTAGTGGTCTCATCAACCCCCTTTTTAAAAAAAAATCTAATTTGCTTTCCTTTGAAAAGTTAATGTGTTCCCTGTGGTTTGCAAATTAATCTTTAAAAGGTATACACATTGAGAAGTCTTACTCCCACCTTTGTCCTCTTCTACCTCATTACCTCCTCCTTCACTCCTATAGATAACCACTTTGTTTTTTCCTTTCTGGTTTTTTGTTTTTTAATCAGTTGTGTTTTTTTTTTTGCTGAGAAAGATTCACCCTGAGCTAACATCTGTTGCCAATCCTCCTCTTTTTTTTGCTTGAGAAAGATTAGCCCTGAGCCAAGATCTGCACCAGTCTTCCTCTATTTTATACGTGGGTCACCGCTGCAGCATGGCTTACCAGTGGTGTAGGTCCGTGCCCCGGATTTGAACCCATGAACCCGGGCCGCTGAAGCCAAGTGTGCTGAACTTAACCACTACACCACAGGGCCCGCTCCTGTCTGCTTTTTCTTTATGCAAATATAAAGGGACAGACATATATATTCTCATCCTCTCCCTTTCTTACACAAAGGCAACATATGGAATACACTGGCATGCACCCTAACCTTCATTACCAGTTCACTTGGGAGCCTTCCAAGCAGGGGAGGTAGAAGCCAACCCTGACAGCCGTGGCCCTTAGCTTTTGAATGAAACTGATTATGGATAGAATGGAGAAAGTCTAGTGTAGTAACCTTTTCCCTTGTCCTCTGCGCTCTCTGGGTCAAGCCCATTCCCCTCTGCAGCCCAGCCCACCAACTCAGTGTAGGCTGCCTTGGACTCCCTTCTCTTCTCTCCCAACAGGCAGTTTCTAAACCGGGATGACATTGGCATCATCCTTATCAACCAGTACATCGCAGAGATGGTGCGGCACGCACTCGATGCCCACCAGCGCTCCATTCCAGCTGTTCTGGAGATCCCGTCCAAGGAGCACCCCTATGATGCCGCCAAGGACTCCATCCTGCGCAGGGCCAAGGGCATGTTCACCGCCGAAGACCTGCGTTAGGGGACTCCCCACAGCCCTGCAGCCCCTCCCTCAATTTCAGGCCTTTCCCCAGGCTTGCCATCAGCCCTTCTCTAAGTTTTGAGCCTCTGATTTCCAATTCCCTGCCCCTTTCTACTCCATTGAGAGTCTAGGTGATGTGTTTCTAGGTTGCTGGGGCTCCGCCATTAAAATCAAGGCTGGTTAGGTAACAGGATGCCTGAGTGTCCTCTCTCTCCACTCCCTCTTCCCTTGTGCTATTATACAGTGTCACTGTTGATGTTAAATTAAAGTCACGTTCTTGCTTCTCTCCAAACTGAGGCTGGGTACTAGAACGGACACTTGTGGGATGAGGCTTTTGGGGCGATTAGATTGGCAGGGTTGAAAAGGTTCGGCCAAAGACCCAGGCATAGATGAGTTGGATCAGGAAGATTGTGCCAGAAGGCCATAACTTTGGTCTTGTGAATCAAAGAAGAACAGCTCTGGCGGGGAGGAATGGGAGGAGGCTTGTGCCCAGGCCCTGGCTCTCCCACTTCAGTCTGTATTGGGCTGAGAGGGGACCTCGCCCCAAGGGATGGAAGCAGAAAGCACAGGAAAGCTGGAAGTCTGTGATACTAGACCAGGCCTGGATCCTGCAAGAGGTTTGGGGATCAAGGCTCTTAGCCAGCGGGCCCTGGCCTGAGGCTGCCTCAGGAAGTGAGGCATGTGAGGTCTGCTGAGGGCATGGCAAGTAGAACCCTGGCCCTGTGTGAGGTGAGGCTTGGTTGCCGGGTGACTGTCCCTGGGCAGCTCCCTGCTGTCAGCAGGACTCTGCTTGCTGTGCTCACCCCTCAGCTGCAGCCACCCTGGTACTGCTCCTTCCCTTGCCACCATGTCACGTCAACTCAACATGGATACGCTGCGGCAGAACTTCTGGAAGGAGGAATACCTGAGGGAGAAGATGTTGCGCTGTGAATGGCACCGCAAGTACGGGTCGATGGTGAAGGCCAAGCAGAAGGCTAAGGCTGCAGCTCGCCTGCCCCTCAAACTGCCCACCCTACACCCTAAAGCCCCACTCTCACCCCCACCTGCCCCCAAAGCAGTCCCTTCCAGGGCCACCAGCCCTGCCCAGGAGGCTCCTATTCAGTCAGAAACGTACCCGGTGCTGCCTGCCACCCGAGCCCTGCTGTATGAAGGCATCTCCCACGACTTCCAGGGGCGCTACCGATACCTCAACACCCGAAAACTGGACATGCCCGAGAGGCGCTACCTCTTCCCCATCACCACCAACTTCACATACGGCTGGCAGCTGGGTGAGCCCCAACCTCCCGGAAATGATTCACCTCACGGACAGAGCACCTGCCACAAGTCAGGCAGTACTTGGCACTAGGCACATAAGACACCTAGTGGAGGGTCCGGGCCATAGACATAAGAGCAAAGAAATGTCTGAGAGGGACAAGTTCCGAGATGAGACTAGGAAGTGATGAGGGGGGAAGGGGGCGTGTGCTGCTTTAAGCTGGTTTGTCAGGAAAGGCTTCTGGGGACCTAAAGGCTGAGAGCTAAATGATGAGGAGGAGTTCAGATTTTAAGTGCGAGAGGAAGCCAGTGGAGGGTTTTAAGCAGGTGAGTGACACTGATGTACTTTTTTTAAAAAATCAACCCTGACTATTCTGTGGGTAACGGCTTTTTCAGGGGAAAGAGTAGACTCTGGCAGGTGAGTGAGGCATCTATTTGAGTTATCCTCAAGAGATGACAGTGGCTTGGGTTAGGGTGATTAGCAGTAGAGCTGAAATAGATTCAGGATATGTTTTGGAGGAAGAATCAGAACTTACTGATGGATTGAATGAGAGACGGGGAAAAGAATGCAATGGTGACGCTCAGGTGTTTGGCTGAAGTGGCTTGACAGGGAAGACTGGGAGAGGAGCTGGGCTGGAGGCTTGTGCTGGGGGTGTCAGTGAGGCGGCTGTGTTTGGAAATCTGGCCCTCTCGAGCAAGCTCAGAGCTGAAGATGCAAATTTGGGGTCATCAGAATATAGATGGTCTTTAAAGCCTTGAGACTGGGCAAGCTCACCTAGGGAGTTGAGAAGCTGGAATCTGACAGGAGGAGAGGCAGGGGCCACAGAGAGGGTTAGGGAGATGGTGTTGGCAGGAAGGCTGTCCATTTGGACTGAGGGTGCTTTTTCTGTGAGGCTGAGTCAAAGTCATCAGCTAGGAGGGAGAGGAGCAGGGACAGTGGCATGGTTTGAGAGGAAGAGTTGTGGTGTGGGAAAAGGACAATGCCAGGCAGTATTATGGGATGGCTGGGTGATGCTGAGTTTCCGATGCTGAGTGTCCCTTTGCTGTCTGTGGTCATGACTTTCAAGTGAGACTACTCAGTCACGTGTCTTGGAGTGCCTGTGCAGAAAAGGTAGATGGTTGGGGATAAACAGAGTTGAGATTTTGCCTAAAAAGTACCCCCACTTTCCCCAGGGCCCTAAAGGGGGAGTAAAGGGAGCAATTTCCCAACAAAAGCAGAAAGCAAGCCCCAGAAGGGGAGCAGGAAGTAGAAGGAAACCCCATTTCTCCCAGAGAAGTCTAGCTCTGTTCCTGTGACAGGCAGGCTGGGTGTCCTGCCACCTCCCTCCATGAAGGATCCTGAGGCCAGGGGTAATGATGGCACACAGCTGACCCACATTCTGCCATCACTACTGACCCAGGCATCCAGCCAGCTCCCTGTTTTCCCATAGCCCCACTCCTCAGAAGCACTTTTTATTTCTTTGCACAAAGTGGATACAACATGGTCAGATTTCTAGGGCTCTGCAGGCAGGGATCCCTTTCCCAGGAACCCATTCCTGGCCTCTGACATCTCTTCTCAGGGCCCCCAGCGAAGCAAAAACTGGTCTCCTGCAAGATGTGCCGCATTGAATCCTTCTTCCGCAAGAACGGGGCCTTCGCACTGCTTGACCCCCGGGACCTGGCCCTCTGACCTTGGCCGGGCAGTAGGCTTAGGGGAGAGAAGAAGAAATACCAAGCCGCCTGGTGGGGCGAAGCTGCTGTGTGTGTCTGTGTCTCTGGCTCTCCCAGGCCCTGAGGCTGCCTTCTGGGCCTTTCTGAAACCACCTCCCACTGCAGTTGCTGACCTGCAGGTTTCCTTTTGCTTTTTCCTTAACCGCAGTGTCTTTAATCTTCCCCTTGAAGGTTCAGCAATGGCCACAGGGGGCGGGGAAGCGTGAGCACTACTCTCCTGGTGCAGGCTCCTCAGCGCCAGGGGGCCACAGTAGCTGCTGGAAGTTCTGGGTGTTCCTGGGGATAGAGTAGCCTGTCATCCCAGATGCCAAAGAAAGGGACCACCACTGCCCCACAAGACTCCCCGCCCACCCCCTCACCTGGCCCCGAGGGCCCGCAGCCCCCCGGTCCTCTCCCGGTGCACCTGTTCCAGTTGCTCCCGCAGGGCGCGCCGCTGCCCCGCCGCGTCCTCCTGGGGCGGTGCCGAGCGCTGAGCACCCTCGCTCTCAGCCCACCGCTCGACGGAGCCCGCAGGGGGCGGCACCCGGGCAGACCTCCCCTCCCGCGCTCGGTAGGTGTCCTACCGTAGCAGGTGCGCGGGCCACGCACTTCAAAGGGACCCAGGTCGCGCCCAGCTCCGACCCGCCCCACGCCCGAGCAAGATGGTCGTGGCCCCACCGCCTTCTCCTGGGGGTCTTGCCTGCGGCGGGAGCTGAGCCGGGCAGGGTGGGGGCCCCAGGGGGTGAACCCGGCAGTGGCGGTTCCTGGCGATGCGGAGGCGTTCCAGGACCTGAGGGAGGCGGCGGTTAGCGGCCAGCTGTCGCCCGCCCCTCGGTGCCCCGTCTTCCAGCGGGCCGGCCCGGCCCGGCCGGGGTACGCACCCGGAGCCGCTGCTGCTCGCGGTCCTGCCGCCGCCGGCACCGGGCCTCCCGGTGCAGCTCCAGCAGCCGCTGCAGAGCCGTCTCCTGCTGCGCCGCGCTCACGCTCGCCGACGCCTCCCTGCCCGGGGGCCCGAGCCAAGCGGCCTTCGAGGCCTTGGGGGCCTCAGCGCCGTCCCTCTGCCCCCGAGGGGCGCCCAAGAGCCTCTCGGGGCCGCCCGCCGGCAGCCCCCTCGCCTCGCCCACCTGCTGCGCCGCGGGGACGGGGCCCTCTCCCGGGTCCTGCAGCCCGTGCGGATCGCGCACCAGCCCCGGGAGAGCTGCGGGGCGCTCCTGCTGCTCAGAGCCCCCGGGGCTTAGGGCCGCTAACATCACGGCTCCTGGGCCTGGGCGCAGCGGCCGGGCCGGGGGCCTCGGGGGCGGAAAGGGAGCCCGCGCCCCTCCCGGGTGGCCCTCTGCTCTCCTACGGCCGGTGCTGACTCTCGTCTCCGGCTGTCGGCCTTACCCGGCATCAGCTGTGCGCTCCTTCCCCAGGGGCCTGGGCTCTGCCTTTCCCCAGGCTTTGGCATCTGTTCTTCCAGGGACCTGCAGAAGTCCCCCGGAATTCCCAGGGAGTCGCCTTCCTCCCGGGACTGTGTAGGCGCCTCTCTCTGTGCTCCCTCCCAGCCTTGTGAGATGAGGCCTCCGCCTTCGGAAGACTGAAGGATCTTCACTTCCCGGCCCTGAGGAGTCTCCTTACTCGGCTCCAGCAGGGCCTCCTTTCTCTGGCACTTAGGGTGATTTCCTCTTTGACCTTGAGGAGCCTCTTTGTTCTCATCCTGGGGCGCCTCCCACCTCTGACCCTCAGAGACCTCCTCCCTCAGAGCCTGAGAAACCTCCCCACTCTGATCCTGGTGTGTCTTCTCACTGTGACTCTGAGGAACTTCTTTGTTCTTCCCCCAGGGGGCTTCCCCTCGCTGACTCTGAGGGGTCTCTTCTTTCTGCTCCTGGGGGTCCTCCTAGTCTCTGACTCTGAGGAATCTCAATCCTCAGCAGTTTCTGAAGTTCTGCTCTCTCCTGGCCCAGGCTCCAGCCCAGCCCCTGGGGGGAGGATCTTGGGGTTCTGGCAGGCCCTGGGAGGGCAGGCCTGAGGGCCCTGGGGCTCCCTGAGTGAGCTTTGTCTCCCTTAGGCTCCTGGATGGTGGTTGACAGGGCCTCTGGGTCATAGGCTTGCCTTGGCCCTTCTCTCCCCTCTGGGCCAGGTCCTGGGAAGGAAGATCACTTTGTCTCAGGCTTGTGAGGGAATCTGCATGTCAGGGCCACTGCCCCCAGGGGAGCCTGGAGACCCCAGTGTCTGCCTGTGTGGGCCTCACTTCCATTATAGCCCTTGCCTGATTCCTGAATTCTTTAACCCATGTTCTGAAGTGTAAAAGATGCTTCACTGATGGGCCTTTCTTCCACCTGGCTACAGGTGGGGACACCGCCTCACCCCAGCAGCCTCCTCCCAGGCAGACTCCACCCCTACTATCCCCAATCTGAGAGGGTTCTTGTTTAGGATGCTTCGACACTTTCACCTTGAACTCTGAGCTTCCTGGTTCCCCAAAGCTGCTGGTGGTGGGGGGGGTTCAGCTCTTGTAAGCAACCTGAGGGAGAAAGACCCATGTTGTGAGCCCTCTGCTCATGTCCCAGCCCCTCACACACATTTCACCTGAACTGGAACCAAGAAGCCTAGGGAGTCCCCAGTGCATAAGGGGAGGGGGGTGCCCTGAGGGCTGGTGTTGAACTTCAAGGCTGTCATGGTTCATCATTCCACCTTTATTTACACAGCCTGCCATGTGCCTGCTTGTCAGGTTTGCCTGCCAACAGCCATCCTCATCTTCCTCATCCTCCCAGCCAAGGCAGATCACCTCAGAGGAACTTGCACACCCTCTTCCTCAAAACCACCAGGGGAAGGGCCGGCCCTGTGGCCTAGTGGTTCAGTTGGGGGTGCTTGGCTTCGGGGGCCCAGGTTCGGTTCTCGGTTGAGGACCTACACCACTTGTCAGTGGCCATGTTGCGGCCATGACCCACATACAAAATAGAGAAAGATAGGCACAGATGTTAGCTCAGGGCGAATCTTCCTCAGCAAAAAAAACCCCCAAAAGACCACCAGGGCATGCCTGGGAGCAGGACTCCTTGGTCTGTTGACTCCTCAGGGTCCTCAGTCCCTCATAAGGTCACCTCCACTTTGTCCTGTGCCCGTCCAGCCCTACTGTATGCACCTTACTTTACTATTATTAAGGAAAATCCTCCTTGGTTTCTGACAGCAAAATCAAATGAAATTCAAGAAGTGAATTTAGTGAATTTTAGGCCAGAGCCTGGCCTAAAAACTGCAAGTCTTCATAATTAACAAAAGGAATCTAAAAAAAGAGATGAAATGTTGCTGCTCCCTTGCAGCTGTGGAGGAAGGAGAGTCATTCTGCATCCATAAAACTACTTAAAAGAACTTGATTTCATAAGGTCTTAAATTGAGAACTTTCACAAGAATATTCCATCTTTATGCAATATGAATGTGTGAATATTCATAACAGTAACCAAATGGGAATGTTCTCTGTGAAAATAAATGTCTTTTGAAGAGTTTCTGAACAAAGACTAATAAGACTCCCAAGCCTTTAGAAATTATTGCCATAAACTGTGAAAATAACCTCCAACTCCCTCCCCCTGTAATTCTGATCTGTTGTCTTACTAGATAATTTATTTCTCTGGTAATAATGTTGTAATTGATATCTCTGTATTCCCATGAGATAATATATGTGTAAAAATTTCTCTGTCAACCAGAAAATAATCATTGGCATTTTCCTCTTCTCTCATGTGCATGATGGAACAATTAAAAGCTTATAGCTTTGCTAGGTTTATTATTTAATAAATCATTTGAAAATCTGTTTCATTTAAATTAACAGACCCAGGGCTCACAGCATCCATCCCCCTGAATTCTAATGGCCTGTTTATTGTCACGCTCTCTCACTAGGCTGTGAGCTCCTCCTAGACAAGGACCAAGTGATGGGGCCAAGTCTCTCTTGTGCTCTGTACATCCCCTGTGCCTGGCATAAAGGTGGCAAATAGGCAGCACGGACAGCCATTACCCACATTCTCTCCTCTGAGCCCCAGCTTAGCTTCATAATTCTCCTGGACACAGTGCCTGAGATGGCTACCACCAGTCAGATGGAATTGGCACATAAAATAAAACCCACTTGTTGTCCCTGGGTGCCCCTGGCACCCAACAAAAACATGTGAGACAAAGAATGAGCGAGGAGTGGACTGGAATCCTGGGACTTGGGCTGAGGACTTCCCCATCTCCTTGCAATCGAATCTGGCCACCCCAGCCCAGGGGCTCCTGCCCTCCTGGCTGCTGACCCCTCCTGTCAACGTACCAGGTGCAGGCTCTGCAGGCATGCCAGGGCTCTCCCACCTTGGATCTGTGTCACTCCCGGCTTCATCCAGATCCAGAGCTGACGAGGGGTCCGCTGCCTGCCCCCTGCAGGAGTGCAAAGGCTCCCTCAGATGCATCTCTTGCATCTGGACTCTGAAAGGGGGGGCAGTCTGTCTGCCAGTCCCCCCACCCCCAACAGGCTGCTGAGCCTTCCCACCCCAACACCCAAAGTCAGTCCAGGGCAGCCTCCCCCAGCTCCTGCACCCACCACTGCATCCTGGGAGCTGGAACTCTGGGGTTACCCTTTCCAGGGGCTGTGAGGAAGCCGTATGGGTGCAACTGAGTGAGAGCCCCAGGAGGAGCCTGGGGCATGAGGAGGGGGCACTGGGCAGGGCTGGGGAAGGAGACAGGGAAAAGGGTCCAGTGTTTGGTTGCTTTGTGTGGCAACACGGAGTGGACAGAATTCCCTGGGAAAAAGACTCACCCCTTCAGGAGCTGATGTTTCTGGCTCAGGGAGTCCCCAGTCTGGGGCGATGGGCACAGCCTGGAACTCTGGGAGGGTTGGGGGGTGCCCTAGTCCACAGGGCATCATCCCCCAATGTAGTAGGCAGCCTCTAAGACCACCCCCAGTGATCCCTCCTCCTGGCATCCATGCCCTTGTGGGATCTACCCCCCTTCCCCTCCAAGTGAAGGAGCTTGGAAATGGATCTGCCCACTCGAGTCTTCAGATGAGACTGCAGTCCTGGCCAACAATGTTGGCTAGACACCTCCTTAGTGGTCATCACTAACACCCCCACCTGCTACAGCTGAGGATGCCTCCGCCCAGAGAGGGCTACTAACCCGCCCAAAGTGCCTCAGGCAGTTGGTGGCTGAGCCAGGACTGGGAGGCACATTCCTAGTTCCCAGTCACCACAGCACCCTCCTTCCTAGAGGGGTGGGCCCAGCCACCAGCCCAGGAGGGAGGGCCTGTGGCTGGGGCTGCTCAGTGTCTCATCTCAGGGGCACCCTGGGCATCCATGCCTCTGCCCTCTGGGGCCCTGCAGGCCTGCTTTCCCCTGGTGCTGCAGCCATGTCTAAAGGCTTCTAGGTATCACTGCGCAGTTGACTTGGCCATGATAGTCAACTGTGGAATGGTTTCGGCAGCCTGCACAGAGTGAGCAGGTCCTGCGCGCCAGGCACAGTGCTAAACCCTTTACATGGATGAGTTCATGGTCCTCCCAGCGGCCCTCTGAGAAAGAGCTGGTATCTTTCCCATTTTGTAAGTGAGGAAACAGACTTACAGTCCACAGGCAGTGTCAGAGCAGAGACTTGAACCCAGATCCATCTGTCTCCAAAGCCCGCCCTCCTTCCACTCCCCTCACCACTCCCATCGCCCAAATGTCACACGACCCCCCTGCCCTCAGCCATGCCCCTGCTCACCCCACTTGTCAGCCACTCAGAGCCCCAACCCGTCCTTCCACAGGGCTTGCTGCGCTGCCTCCGTGCGCACTGGGCCTGGTCCCTCAGACCGCAGAACTGGGCCCAGGGCGGCCAGAAGAGGCCCAACCCTGCCCCGGTCAGCAGCTCCAAGTCCCACAGGAGCCGCAGGAAGATGGGGCATCAGAGGACCCCTACCCTGTCCTCTGCCACACCCCCTAGCCAGCCCCTACCTGCTCCTGGGCCCGCCGGCTCTGCTCCATCTCCAGAAGCATGGTGGGCAGTTCCAGGCTGGAGGGACAGGCCCGGCCCTCTTGCACCTGGGGAGGCAGGGTGGTGTCAGGCCCCACGGAGAGCCTGGCCCCTCGGAGACAGAGGCCTGCCTCCCTCACCTGCTGCAGTGCAGCCCGGAGCTGGCCCAGGCCTGCAGGGCGCCGGAAGAGGTGCTGGTACAGAGCCAAGGCCTGCTTGGGGCTACAAGGCAGCCCTAGGCCCCCAGGTGTGGCTGCCTGCTCCATGGGGTAGAGGCCAGGGCAGACGTCCCCTCCCTCCTCTCCCTCTGCTGCTGGAGCCTGGAGAGAGGAAGAGGACAGGAACTGGGGACAGGAGCAAGGAGGAGGCAAAGGCTCCTGAGCTCAATAATGCAGGGCCCTGGCATCTGAGCCGGGGCCTGGACCCCAGCCAAGTCTCAGAGAGACTCAGCCTGACTCTGATGTGGGTTTCTTGGCCATGGGGGTGGTGGTGTGGGGGGAGGAGTGAGTGTGACCCTGATAGAGAGGGGTAAGTGCGTGTGCTTGTTTGTGATCCCGAGTGAGGATGTTTTACACATACTTGTGTACATATACTCATGAAGCTCAAGACTGCATTATGTAGGCAGGTAATAACGCCCAATTCGGGCAGCAGCCACCAACAGCTACCCCTATGGCGGGACACAAAAGGCTGCGTACACGTCATCCTTCCACGAAGCAACTCCGTGAAGTAGGTGATATCATTCTCATCCCCATTCTACAGACGAGAAAACTGGGCCCCTAACCAAAACGTGGCAGCGTCTCCCTCATCTGGAGACAGAGGGCCGGGATAAACAGACTCCAAGAAAACGTGGTCCCCAAGTGCGAGCAATAACAGGCAGGACCCTTCCCTAGTGCTTGCTCCAAGCTGTCCACGTGTGGAGCGCTGTCCGTGGGTCACTCCGCTTATTCCTCACAACACACGAGATACATCAGATGGGGACACAGTTTGTATAAGTCATAACAAGCGGAGGGAACGGACACAGGAGATGGTCTGTGATCTTCCCCGCCTCTACTGTCATGAGCGGCCTGGACTGCCTGCCACTTTGTAACAGCTCCATGAGAGAACGGAGCCAACTCTCCTCTCCGCCCCAGAGAAGAGCCTCAGAGAAAGGGGCTGAGCAAGCCGGCAGGTGAGCTCAACTCGGCCCAACTCGCTCCCTTTCCTCCCTGTTGAAATACTACGGAGCTGGCAACGAGAATCAAGCGCCCCCTGAACTTGTAGCTAGGGTCCCTAAAACACCAAGGTCACACAGTCAGTAGGTGGTGAAAAGCATCTTTTCTTTTCAAAGTAGATTTCTTTTTCTATTTCAAAACCCGTGTTCTTTCCCCTACAACAATGTCTTCAAAAGTTGCATGTGTGTCCCCTGCCCACACGTCCATCAGGGGTGGGTGTGGCTATGAGCACACACAGGTGTACATGCCTGTGTTTATCTGGGTTTCTTTTCTTTCCCTTTTTTTTTTTTTTTGGTGAGGAAGATTCGCCCTGACCTAACATCTGTGCCAATCTTCCTCTATTTTGTATCTGGGACACCGCCACAGCATGGCTTGATGAGTGGTGTAGGTCCATGCCCGGGATCCAAACCTGCAAACCCAGCCCGTCGAAGTGGAGTGTGCCAGACTTAATCACTACGCCACTGGGCTGGCCCCGTCTGGATTTCTGAGAGGGAAGGAGAGTGTGTGTATGTGCATGCACATGCATGCACACATCCGTCCTTTTTCTTTTTTCTTTTTTTTTTTTTTTGCTGAGTAAGATTCGCCCTGAGCTAACATCCGTGCTGATCTTCCTCTATTTTTTAGTATGTGGGTTGCCAGCACCGCACAGCTGCTAACAGAGCAGTGTAGGTCTGCGCCCAGGAACCGAACCTTGGCCACCAAAGCAGAGCATGCTGAATTTAACCATTAGGCCACCGGGGCTGGCCCACATCTGTCTGTATTTCATCATGGTCTATTGTCTCTCCTGATCCCCACCCCAGGTATAGGGTCCCTGTGTCACCAGCTCTTAGAGGGGCCCAGGAGGTACCTGAGCACTCAGTAGCCCCCAAACCAAGAGAAAAGGGGATGCCATGTGGGGACTGAGCTCTTCTCCATGCTCCTCAGCCACTGCAGGATTCCAATGGATCCACAGAGGGTCCCACAGAGGGACCCACAGGTCATGCCTGCTACATGTGAGCACAGGGCTGGGACCAGGACACCTGCGTCCTCCTTCTGCCCACTGCAGGGTCTTCCAGGCAGCACCACGGTGTGGCAGGTGGGGGCAGCCCATGAATGAAGGCACAAGGAGTGAGCAAGGTCCAGGGCTGAGCCCTCACAGCTCAAAGCTGCCACCACTCTGACTCTGGGGACACTGACCTCTGGGCCCCATGTTCCAAGCAGCCCACGCCACCACCCCAGCACCAGGAGGAAGCACACATACACACAGGAAAGCTTAGGGCAGGCCCTGAGTTTACTGCTTCTGACTCAACACAGCTGGGGCCTGTGTGTGCCCAGGCCCCCAGTGCCCAGGCAGGGTCCTGTCTCTGCAGTTTTGGCCAGGGTGGGAGCTGCTCTCCAAAGGGAGGCTTTTGGTCTGATGAGTCCTGGTCAGTGTCGTCCTGGCTCAGGTTGCCCCCTGGAGCTCCCAGCTGGGGCTAGGCAGAGCACTGGGTGGCTGGTCCCTGGTGAGTAGGACTGGGGGGCAGGCCTTGGGTGAGATACAGTGGGCCTCGTGCTCCACCAGGCCTGCAGGGCACCGGCAACCAGGAACGCAGGGCCTCACGCAGTGGGCCGCCAGCTCCCCCAGGGGGATGTGCCGGTTGAAGCAGGTGCGGGGACAGGGCGGGCCACACTCATCGAACACGAAGCCGCGGTCCAGGGGGCAGCCCACCACTGCAGGTGGAGGGGAAGGCAGGGTCACAGGGGCACTCCTGGCACTGCTCCAGGCACCATGTTCACCCCTTGCAGCCCACCCTGTACCTACTCTGTCCAGATGTGAGCCCTCTGTGCCACCCTCTTCCCCAACTCACACTGGGCATTGCCCCCTTACCGCAGAGCGTGGGGCCCCGCCAGGCAGGCATCACCCCTGCCCTGCGACAGTGGCTGGCATAGGCTTCCAGGGCATCACAGAGGCAGGCGTCAGCCGAGGAGCCAGGGCCACAAGCACATAGGTCATACACGCAGGCTGCAAAGAAGGGCTCCGGTGGCACCACAGCATGGCAGCGATTGAACGGGGAGGACTTCAGCACCCCACACCGGGCATTGGCCTCACGCCTAGCACGATAACCTGCTGCCCGGCATGGATCCACCTCACGGCCCTTGGAACAAGGCCGACCAGGTCTCAGCCCCTCTGGGACCTAGGTGGGGAGAGCAGCCCTGATGTGACAGCATCCACATGCTATGTTCTTCAAAGAGCTTTCCACCGAATACTTTGTTTTAGCCCCAAAAACCTTCCTACAAGAATAGCAAAGGAAGCATCAGCTACTTTTCCTTTGTCCCCATTTTACAGATGGACAAACCAAGGCCCAGAGCAGGTAAGTGACTTCTCCAAGGTCACACAAGCAGGGCTTGGGGGTTCAGATGATGAGGCCTCTTTCAACAGGCCATCCTGCATCCCCAGCACCATGACAAGCAAGAAGCCCCCAAACCACCCTGAAAGCCCAAAAGTTCCCCTCTATTCATACCTGAAGGCTGCTCTGAGACTCATGCTCAACTCTGCCTATCCCAGCCCCCCGGCTCCTGTGCCACTCACCTGCCAGCTATTCCCAAATGCAGCCTCAGTGGACAGGAGCAGCCCCTCAGGGCCCCGCAGATCATCCTGGGCAAAGCCATTGAAGTCCCCACAGAGCCCACAAATCCGGCCCCGGTAGGACCCGGGCACGCTCACCTCCACCTGGGACTGCCCATCCCACAGCACCTGTGCGGAGAGGCTGTGACTGGGAAGTGGGAAACAGAGGGACTCCAAGAAGCCCACAGCCCATCCTGGCCGCATGCACTGTGTCAGCACACCCCCTGCTGTGGGGGAGGAGAGTGGGCGGGTGGAGGCTCCCCATGGAAGAGTGGCTCCCCTGGCTGAGGCCAAGTGGGCGGGCGCATGCTGTGCGAGCTCTGGGCAAACAGAGAAGACGTGAAGAGCTGCCCATGGCTCCCGCAGGAGGGCACCTTCTCCCATCCGCATCCCTGAACTGGGCTCCCGAGTGAAGCGCAACCCACCTCCAGAGATTCACTACCTCGTGGGCATTCACGCCTTACAGAGAACAAGCATGACTAGAGTCTGGATCGTAAGTGTAGACAAGCCTCATTTTATGAATCTACAAACAGCGCTTCTTGCTGGAGGCAGGGAGTGAATTACTCTTGGACATGGGAGTTGGAAGGAATCTCTGAAACCACGTAGGAGACCTCAGCTGACATCCCTCCCCCCACCTAACCCTTCCCCCATTCTCCCCATGAGAAAACCGAGGCCCAGAGAGGACTGGCACTGGCCTAAGAGGCCCAGTGGGTTGGTGGCTGAGTCAAGATTAGAAACCATGCTCAGGGCCAGCCCAGTGGCTTAGCGGTTAAGTGCGCGTGCTCCGCTACTGGCAGCCCCGGTTCGGATGCCGGACGTGCACTGCCGCACTGCTTCTCCGGCCATGCTGAGGCCGCATCCCACATACAGCAACTGGAAGGATGTGCAACTATGACATACAACTATCTACTGGGGCTTTGGGGGAAAAAAAAGGAGGAAGGTTGGCAATAGATGTTAGCTCAGAGCCCGTCTTCCTCAGCAAAAAGAGGAGGATTAGCACGGATGTTAGCTCAGGGCTGATCTTCCTCACAAAAAAAAATTAAAAAATTAAAAAAAAAAAGAAACCAGGCTCAGAACTCCTTTCCCTGCACGTGGAGGTCTCTAACCCTGATTCCTCTCCTCCTCTCAGAATCCAGCAGAACTCTTTCACCTCCGTGGCCTCGTTTGGCCCTGGACGTAGCTGGTATCCCCCCTCCCTCTACAGATACAGAAGCCTGAACAGGCCCGAGGCAGCCGGCGGGTCTGGGAGGCTCCCCCGCCCCCACTCGCCCTGGCGCCGCACCTGGAGCCCAGGCTGGGCGTGCAGGATCACCGTGCGTCCCCGCAGCTCCACGTACAGCAGCGGCTCCCGCAGTAAGGGCAAGGCCACGGGGCGCCCGTCCACCTGGAGGGGAAGGGAGGTGGGAGGAGGGGAGACGTCGGGAGGGATGAGTGGACAGCGTGGGACCGACCTTCCCCGGTTCCTCGGCTCCACTCACCGTGACCGCCCCGCCCTGCAGCAGCCGCACGGCCACGTCTTCCAGCAGCACCGTCACCTCTTGGGTCCAGGCCACGCCGCTCCGGCCCCGGTCATCGTTGGTCACGTGCACGCTGTGGTGTGAGAGCCCCGGATATGGTGGTCAGCGGGGACAGGCGTAGGGGTTGGGGAGAAGGCAAAGGGGGTTGCGCACCTGAAGTCCCCTCCACGGCAGTCCCTGGCCAGCACATAGCTGCAGCTGCCCTGGAAGTGCAGCAGGCGGCCGTCGAAGGTGCGGTAATGGGGGTCTCCGAAGGCCATGCAGGAAGCGGGCCGGGGCAGGCAGCGGGGGCAGCAGCTGCCGGGACTCAGGGCGGGGGCCTTGTCCTGGCCTCAGCCCCAGACACCGTCAGCCACGTCGCCCTCCCCACCGTGCCCCACGCAGAGCCTCCCTATGGACCCAGGATCGCCTGGGAGTCTCCAGGGCTCCCGGACTCACTGCGAGCGAGGTCATGGCACCACCTCGTGGCCGCTACGGGAACTGCATGGCCCCGGGTCCCCGACGGCTGTGGGGCCGCTGCCCAAGCCTAGCCTCCCTCCCTTCCTCCCGCGCGGTTGCACCAAGATGGCGGTGCCACGTGCCCACTCAGCCCACCGCCCTAGACCGCGGCACTCACGGGGCCACAGGAGAGCGGCGCGCAGCGCTGGCTCTGGCAGCGCACGGTGCCGGCCACGCAGGAGCAGCTCGTGCAGGCGTCCACGGCCCAGCGCTCCCCGGAGGCCACCTCCCGGCCCTGGTACGTGCACGACTGGGCGGGGGCTGAGGGGACAGGTAGGGGCGAGGGTCCGCTGCCCGTCCCTCACACTGGGTCTCGTTCCCCCTACCCCCGTCGTCCTGGCCCGCACCTTGGCATCTCTCACAGCACCTGCCAGCCTCCAGCACCTTCACCCAGCCGTAGGGACAGGAGAGGGCCTGGCACTCCTCTAGGTGGCACTCCACGTGGCCCCGCTGAAGACAGACGTCATTGCTCTAGGGACTTCCAGCAGGGCCTGGAGTCCCTGGCCTCACACTTCTGGGGGCCTTCTGGGTCACCGTCTGAGGCAGCAGCCCCTCTCTCTCTGCCCCTGTCCCACAAGAACACCCACTTCATGTTGAAGTGGGGGATGAAATCCAACCCTCAGCTCCTTGCCCCAGGGCAGGGGTGCCTCTGCCCCCGCTCACTCAGAGGGGGTGCCTTTTTCTAATTACCTCGAAGACCCCATGTTTGCTGGTCCAGTGTCCTGAGGCCCCTCCCTTCATCCATCTATAAAGTCCCCCACTCCTTGCCCTCCCACCCCCAGCTCACGTGGCAGGTGCAAGCAATGCAGGCGTTGCTGGGGTCCCGCCAGCTCTCTCCATCTGCCACTCTCCTGCCCTCAGCCTCCACCACACATTCTGAGGAGGAAGAAATAGTGATGGAGAGCACTGTCCTTCCAGCAGCATCTCCCCTCCCCAGAGCTCACCCTGAAGGCCCACAGCAAGGGGGTGCCCACCCCATCCAATTAGTACCCTGATGGTATTGATTTCTTCAACCAAGATCCAGAGGGCCTATGAGATGGCAGGGTCTGCACCAGTGCTCAGGATGTCTAAAGGGTCCTGTGACCCTGAAGAGCCAGAGGCTGGAACCCTCCTCTGGGCTGGCTGCCAGCTCAGCTGTGCAATGCCCTGCTAGTGGGCCTGGGGTCCCTGAGCCCACTGACAAGCCTCAGGCCCGGCCTTGAGAATCCAGACTTCATTCTCTGCCTCCGTCTACTTCGCGGGTCTCTCCTCCACCCCAGTGAATAGCCCTCCATTTCTACAAAAGAATGAAGCCTGCATTCAGAGTGCAGACCCTGGGCTGCCCGCTTGGCCTATGGATGCCACCTTCCTGTCCCTGGAGGCCTGGGCTCACGCTCTGAGGGCGCAGGCCAAGGCTGGGCACTTACCCCGGCACACGGGGCAGCAGCTCCCAGGGGGCGTATGGCGCTCCCACCAGGGACAGCTGAGGTCAGGGCAGGCCCGGTGAATGCAGAGCCAGGTCAGGTCCTGTGGAAGGGTGTGAGACCACCACAGGTAGTGAACAGCAGGGAGGGAGCAGGGCCTAGGCAGAATGTGACATTCAGGACAAGGGGGCGAATGGCGGGGTGGAGGGGAAGCTCGGAGCTGCTACAGGAGAGGAGTCACAGCCATGGCCCATAGAGGAGGAGGAAGAGGGGGCTTTAAGAGTCCCCAAGGCAGGAGGGCTCACCTGGCACTGGCAGGTGTAGCAGGGGTCCGGTGGGGCCAGCTCAGACCCCAGCAGGCCCTCTGTGCAGTTACTCAGTGCCTCTGTGAAAACCAGAACGCAGTGTGGGGGGTGGAGGGGAGAGCAGGGGATGAAAGCCCAGTTGACCCCACTTACCCGCTGTGTCCCCAGACTTCATGGGCCCAGGGCATACCCATATCCCCAGCACCTTGACTCCAGGAAGGATAAATCCTCTTTCCTTTTGATTCAGCAAAGAAAAGTTTGGACTTTCGAAAAGGAACTTTGCTAGGATACTAGGGTGGGGGGCCTGGAAATGGACGAAGTGTGGCTTCCTCAGCCTGAGGTCGCTAAGGACCACCAGGCTGCCCAGCCTGCTCCCCCTCCCACTGCCTTTCATGTTTTCTGGCTAAAGCAGCACAAGGAAGCTCAAAGAGCCCCAGGTTCCAATTTTGGCTCTAGCACTCAGTGCCTGTGCCATTTTAGACTAATCAACCTTTCTGAACCTCAGTTTATCTATAAAAAAGGAAATAATAAAACCTACCTCACTGGGTAACTGTGAGAACTAAATGAGATATTGTTTATTGAAAGCACCAAGTACAGCTCATGGCATGCAGTAGGTGCTTACTAAATATTAGTCCTCTTCTCTTTCCCTGAAGCACATCCTAGCAAGTGTTGATAAGAATAGCTCTCCCCGCCTCTGTAGCTGGGCCACTGGCCACTCACTGCCCCTCTGGTCCTCACATCACTGCCCTTAAGAAGACAGCAGCAACACCACTGCCACCCTGCAGCGCCATCTATTGGGTAAGACACTCCACAAACCACACAGGACTTCAGAGTCAAGGGGTCCCTGCCACCTTCCCCAGTTCCCAGTGGGGCGGTGCAGGTCTCACCCACCAGGGCATGGGCTTCCAGAACAGTCCACTGGACTCAGGAAAGGGCTGGGACTGTGGAAGAGAGCTGGCTGGCTCTTCCAGTGTCACTCTGAGGGTGGCTGCCCTACCCTCTTTATCTACTCCCACATCTGGGGACTCACGGGCACAGGTGGGGCAGCAGTGCTGGGGCCCAGGGGGCAGGAGCTGGCTGGCGGGACAGCCCACCAGGCTGGGACACTGCTGCCGGTGACAGCGAAGGCTGGGAGGCCCTTCAGGCTGCAGCTACGACAAGAATGAGTGAGCAGGGGGTGGGTCCCAGGCCACAGAGGCCGAGAGCCACCCTCTTCCCCTGGACTCCAGGCTCCTTGATCTGCCTGCTGCACCTCCTCCCGAGTATCTCCCCAGACTTGCTCCTCACCCCATGCCCTAATCCCCAGAGATGATATCCCTTTCTCTTTCCAGTCACTTGGACCTGAACCTTCATGTGATCTTTGACCCTCGTGCACTCCCATGCCATCCTCCTCCCCAACCCCACTGCCTAATCTCCTAACCTGTGATGTCATTCGCCTGCTGAAAACCCTTCCACTGGCTCCCCATTACCTTCCCCATAGAATTTCCCCAATATGGCCCCTAACCACTTCCCAGGTGTCCCCCCACCACCACCTCCTATACACACCCACCCTACACTCCAGCCAGGAGGGCCTGCCCACTGCCTCCCCCCCCCTCGGCCCTGTGCCCCGTGTCTAACTCCAGACTTCCTGGCCCTGCCCTGCTCTTCACCCCAAGCCCCTGCCTCACTTCTTGTCCGCAGGGACACACTCCTGTCTCTGACCCCATAGTGCCTGCTCCCCGCAGTGTTCAGGCTGCCCCCCATGGCGCCCTGTCCCTCAGTGTCGCCCTCACCTACCTGACAGATGCACACTTCACAGGGGTCTGCCCCTGGCTGGAAGCTTTCCCCAGGCTCATACTTCCGGCCCTTGTGCTCACAGTCTTGAGGGGTGAGGTAAGAGCAGAAGAGGACCAAGGAGCCTTCAGGCTGGCAGCAATGCCAGGGGGTGGGGTTCTCTGCCCCTCAGGGCCCCCCCAGCCTCAGGAATTGGGGTGTGTATAAGAATGGGGGCCACTTCTCCTCGATCAGCCCATCTCTGCCGCCCAGCCCAGTACAAAGGCATGTAGATGCCGGGGCGCTGCCTCCCTGCCCCCCGGCCCCGCCCCAGGCCCCACCCCAGGCCCCCAGTACCAGAGCACCGAGGGCAGCAGTCACCGGGCCCCTGGTGGGGCTGAGCGCAGGAGCTGACACACTGGACGCGGGCACAGGTGACAACACCCTCGTGACATGTGCAGGAGGAGCAGGGGCTGTCAGGGGGCTCCCAGCTGCTGCCTTCAGGGTGCTCCTCCCCATGGGCCAGGCAGCCTGTGTCCCAGGTGGGCGGAGGAGCTCTGAGCCTGGGTTCTGCACGTCTGCCCCTGACGTCCCCCTGCTCCCCCCACAGTGATCAGCAGGGCATGTGGGTATCAGGAGGGAGCTCTGCAGGGATGGGGGGGAAGGAGGCCTGGGGCAGAACTCCAGTCTGCAGTGGAGGGGAAAGACACTGGGTGGGGGTCAGAACACCTGGGTTCTAATTCCGTTCCATGTCCGCTTGCTTGCTAGACCAAGTGCCAGGCAGCAGGCACTGTCTGTTGTAGCCTAGCACCAGCACCGGTACCTGGCATGCAGCAGGCATCTAATAAATGCACGTGGAACGAGGAAAAGGCTCCATCACTAACTTAGTCTCTCCAAGCCTCGGTCTCCTCCTCTGCTAAATGGGGATTTCATCTATCCTGCCTACCTCGCAGGGCAGGTCCTGTGGCAACTACACAATGCCCCCCTGGCAGTGTATGGGGCAAAGGGCAACAGGCAGGCTAAGACAGTCTCCTATTCTAGAACCAGATGGCCTAGATGCAAATTTTGACTCTGCCGTCCACTAGCTGAGGGACCACAGGTAAGTTACGTCACCTCTCTGTACCTCGGTTTTCTCATCTGTAAAATGGGAATAATAATAGTACCTACCTGATGAGGTCATTGTGTGGATGAAATGAGATACGTGTAAAGTGCTTAGCGCAGGGCCTGGCACATGGTATATGCTCAATAAATGTTAATTATTATTGTTATCATTATGAATGGGGTGTGGTTAGGAAGGGAGCAGCTTTGAGGGGATTCTAATAAGCACTGGAGGAGGAGATGGTCTGGGCAGGCCCGGGGCAGGGGCAGGTTGGAAGGGCTGCAGGTGGGCCTGGGTGAGAGCTCAAGGCTGAGTGTGAGAGGGTCAGATGGGTGGGCAGGTAGGTGGGGAGGCTGGAGGAGAGCTGAGGGGAGGGGGATGGGGCAGCTGGAGGGGCATAGGGCCCAGGGGTGGAAGCAAGGGGGCAGCCCCACCGGCCAGGCGCACCTCTGCAGCGGGAGCAGCAGTTCCCCTGCTCTGTGACCTGGAGTGGGCAGGACAGGGGTGGGCACTGCAGCCGCACACAGCTGACCTGGCCAGCCTGCAAGAGATGCAGGGTCAGTGACTTGCCCCCTAGGCCAGGTGCCTGGAGACACCATGGCCCAGCCTCCGCCCCAGCCCCCTCTGCCACCTCCCTACCATACCTGACAGCGACACCTCTCACAGCTGCCTGGAGGCCCCTCAAACTCCTCTCCGTCCCGGTGCTCCCGGCCCTGGGAGAGGCAGCCTATGGGTGACATGCTTCCTGAGTGGGGGGTTGTGTCACCTTGCCCTGTCCAACCTCAGGTCTGGCAGAAAGGTAGGGAGGAGGCGCAGGGACAGGCAGGGGGGCTCAGTGTGCGGAAGGCAGCTCACTGTGGCAAACCGGGCAGGAGCAGGGTCCTGGAGAGGGGTTGGAGCAGAGAGCTGGAGGACACGGCTTCTTCTGGCAGCGCATGGAACCTTCCTGGGGGAGAGGTCACACTGCCACTTCCTGACTCCCATGTCAATGTCACCACACCCTCAAACCAGTCTACATGCTGCCCCCTGGGTGGGGTGCCCCCGCTGAGCCTGCCAGGCCCAAACCCCTCCCTTGGCCCAGGAGACCTGAATCCATTGTGTCCCCCTAGAGGGTACCCCGGGAGACCTGGAGGGAAGAGACAGCCCCTTCCTGGCCAGAGAGGAGGATCAAGGGATGAAGGGTTACCACCTTCCCAAAGGGCCACCTCACCTGGCAGGTGCAGAGAGTGCAGGTGGGGTCAAGTGGGTCGGGAAGGGTCTCTCCAGGGGCAGCAGTGACCCCATGATAGAGGCATCCTGCAGAGCGGGGAATGCCACAGAAGGGCGGCCATCAACAGAGCCCGCCGCTGCCACACACACGCACACACACCCCCCTACCTCTGGGCCTGGGGACCTCTACCAAAGCTTAGGGAGTCAGAGAGGGAGAGAGAAGTGGCTGGGAAGGTGAGGGATGGGAGGAAAGACTGCAGCCAGACCACAGGTGGCGAGAATCGCGTGCATGAAGGGATGGAGGACTGGAGGTGGGATCACAGACTGCCGAGAGTTTTCCGTTTGCGTGGACCAGTGTGGGAAGAAGATGGAAGGAGATGGGCACACCTAGAAATGAAGGTGAGAGATGGGCTGGGCTTGGGAGGATGGGCTAGGGAGGCATGAGGGAAGGAAGCTGCCCCTTCTGATGGGTGACTCAAGGACAGTGGGAGCCATTGAACGGTTTTGAGTCTGGTGATGTGACATTTTAGGAAGGTGGCAAGACAGTTTAAGAGCAGGAAGGTCTTGAAGCACAGGGACCAGTTATTGGGTGAGTACATGAGTCAGTGTGAGGTGACAGGGACAGAGGAGGGCATGGATACAGTGTGAGGAGTCTGAGGAGACACAGGGTGTGGGTTTGCTGTGTGGCTATCTCGGGAGGGGTGACAGTGGCGAGACCAGGTGACTCCGAGCCAGAAGGGGCAGTGGAAGGGCTGGTGCCGCCCTACCCTGGCAGGTGGGGCAGCAGTGCCCAGGCGGGGTGAGTGGGTGGCTGCAGCCCAGAGGCTCACAGGGGCGGTGGCTGCAGGTCACGAAGCCTCCGAGGCAGGTACACAGACTGCAGGGCTCTCGGGGATCCTGGAACTCCTGGCTGCTCAGGTAGGACTCCCCTAGGTACTCACAGCCTTCCAGAGAGGACGGGAGAGGCAGGGCGGAGGGGCAGAAGTGGGTGAGAGGAGAGCAGGCATTTGACCCTGGCCTGAGTCCAAGGCCTCAAAGACCCGGCAACTGCGGGGAGGAGAGGGCTCAACCCAGGCTGGCGGGCAAAGGAATCTGGAGGCCGGGGTGGACAGGCCAAAGGGCAAACTTTCTCCCCTTGGCCTGCCATCTACAGCGAAAGACCCACACGGATTCTGTCCCTAGAGTTAAATACTCAGCAGGCCACTGCCCAGCCAGAGGCACCAATTTTCCCAGTCTGGGGAGAGCCAGGAATAGCCAAAGATGACTTAGGTGGTCCCAAGCTCTTTCAGTGCTCTTTCAAGCCCTCTGATTAATCAAGGAGGGAAGGGGGTCCCAGGGTGGTGGCAGCCTGCCCTTAGCAGCTCTCCGACACGTGCTGACATTTTTAAAAGAGAGAGGGCACTTTGGGTGATAATGATGTGTCAATGCAGGCTCAACAACTGTAACCAGTATACCACTCTGGGGGGGATGTTGACAATGGGAGAGGCTACACATGTGTGGAGGCAGGAAATCTCTGCACCTTCCTCTCAATTTTGCTGTGAACCTAAAACTGCTGTAAAATAATAAAGTCTATAAAAAGAAAGAGGGGGTAAGTCTCAGGCTCAAAGCCTTGGCAGGCAAAAGTATCTGACTAGAACTTAATATTTTATTTTTAATTGTATTCATTTTTATGGTAATCTCCTATTCCCAGAAAATCTAATTTTCCATTTACAGTATGACATAAAGACTTCTTTCTAAATAAATTTAAATTAAAAAGTGCATTAATCAATCAAAAAATGGGCAGAGGATATGAACATTTTTCCAAGGAAGATATACAGATGGCCAATAGGCATATGAAAAGATGTTCAACATCACTAATCATCAGGGAAATGCAAATCAAAACTACACTATCACCTTACACCCATTAGAATGGCTATAATCACCAGGATAAAAAATAACAAATGCTGGAGAGGCTGTGGAGAAAAGGGAACCCTCATTCACTGCTGGTGGGAATGCAAACTGGTGCAGCCTCTATGGAAAACAGTATGGAGAGTCCTCAAAAAATTAAAAATAGAAATACCTTATGATTCAGCTATCCCACTTCTGGGTATTTATCCAAAGAACTTGAAATCAACAATCCAAAGAGGCTTATGCACCCCTATGTTCATTGCAGCGTTATTCACAATAGCCAAGACTTGGAAGCAACCCTAAGCGTCCATCGACAGATGATTGGATAAAGATGATGTGGTATATATATACAATGGAATAATAGCCATAAAAAAGACAAAATTGTCCCATTTGCAACAACATGGATGAACCTGGAGGGTATTATGTTAAGTGATACAAGCCAGACAGAGAAAGACAAACACTGTATGACCTCTCTCATATGTGGAATATAAACTAACACATGGCCAGAGAGAACAGTTTGGTGGTTACCAGGGGGAAGGGAATTGGGGGGTCAGCACAAGGGGGAGAGGGGCACATTTATGTGGTGACTGACAAATAATAATGTACAACTGGGATCTCACAATGTTATAAACTATTATGACATCAATAAAAAAGTTTTTATAAAAAAAAGAAAAAGAAAAAAGTGAGTTAATTTGAAGGAAAATATTAAATAAATAAAGTTACAGGAGGTAAACAGTATGTAGCAAAAATTGCTAACATAGTACAAGAGTGACGGAAGACTGGCGAACCGGGTCTGGTTTCAACTGTCTCTCTCTTTTTCTTTTTTGGTGAGGAGGATTGGCCCTGAGCTAACATCTGTTGCCAATCTTCCTCTTTTTGCTTGAAAATTGGGCCCAGAGTTACACTTAAAAATGGTTAAGATGGTAAATTTTATGTTACGTGTATTTCACAAAAATATACATTTAAAAAGTGTATGTTTTTATTTTTTTATTTTTTATTTTTTTAAATTTTTTGTTTATTGCAGTAACATTGGTTTATAACATTGTAAAAATTTCAGGTGTACATCATTGTACTTCTATTTCTGCATAGATTACATCATGTTCACCACCAAAATACTAATTACAACCCATCACCACACACATGTACCGAATTATCCCTTTCACCCTCCTCCCTCCCCGCTTCCCCTCTGGTAACCACCAATCCAATCTCTGTCCCTATGTGTTTGTTTATTGTTGTTATTATCTACTACTTAATGAAGGAAATCATACGGTATTTGACCTTCTCCCTCTGACTTATTTCACTTGGCATTATACCCTCAATGTCCATCCATGTTGTCACAAATGGCTGGATTTCATCGTTTCTTATGGCTGAGTAGTATTCCATTGTGTATATATACCACAGCTTCTTTATCCATTCGTCTCTTGGTGGGCACTTAGGTTGCTTCCAAGTCTTGGCTATTGTGAATAACGCTGCAATGAACACAGGGGTGCATGTACCTTTGCAAATTGGTGTTTTCAAGTTCTTTGGATAAATACCCAAGAGTGGAATAGCTGGATCATATGGTAGTTCTATCCTTGATTTTTTGAGGAATCTCCATACTGTTTTCCATAGTGGCTGCACCAGTTTGCACTCCCACCAGCAGTGTATGAGAGTTCCCTTCTCTCCACATCCTCTCCAACACATGTTGTTTCCTGTCTTGTTAATTATAGCCAAAAAGTGTACTGTTTTTAAATTGAAAAAACAAAATAGGCCCAGAGAGGTTATGTAACTGGTCCAAGGTCACACAGCCAAATAGCATCAATGGCAAGAGAAAATCCAGCTTTTAGTCCAGTGCTTTTTTCTTACTGGAATAAATATTTTGGACCCACTCTACAGCAGTAAAGATGACGTGACCCAGCCTCCCATCCTCCCACCCCCCCAGTCCCCTGTCCCTCACCATCACAGGTAGGGCAACAGTTACTCCTGGCAGGGAAGGGGCACTGTGCAAGGGCACAGGCCCTGGGCTCGCAGCTGACGCTGCCCTCCCAGCAGAGGCAGACGTGGCACACGGCAGTGGGCGAAGGGAAGCGCTCCCCGCTGGCAAACTCCTTGCCCTGGTACAGGCAGCCTAGGGGGCAGGCGAGGAGGGCAGGGGCTGGGGAGCCGTGGTGGCTGCCTACCAGGCCCACAACTTCCCAGGCCCTGTGGACCGGGCACTCCCACACTCCCAGTGAGAACCCCGACGTGGGAGGGGCGGGCTTGGAGGAAGGGCGGTACCCGGGTGGTGCCGCGTCTGGGGCTGGAGAAAGGGTTACACGGAGTAAGAGGGATACGAGGGGCACCGGGGAGAGCGAGGCTCCCGGGCGGGCGGAGTTGCAGGAAGCGCGTGCAGGGGTGTCGCGGGCGCCGCCACGGCGTTACCGTTACCGTCGCAGGAGGGGCAGCAGGGCCCCTGGCGCGGGTGGGCGCAGGGCGCGGGCGGGCAGGGCAGCCGCTGGCAGGACACGGAGCCGTCGAGGCAGAGGCAGCGGCGGCAGGGGTCGCCGGGCGGGGAGAAATGCTCCTGGTGGCGGGCGGGGACCGCGCCCCCGGGCCACGGGCAGCCGGAGGAGGGGGCTGCAGGGAGAGCGCGCGTCGGGGGCGCCCAGAGGGAGGCTGCAGAGGGTGTCTCGGGAGGGGCGGCCGGGGGTGCGGCTCCTACCGGGGCACTGCGGGCAGCACTCTCCCGGCGGCAGAACCGGCTCTCGACAGGGCAGCGGCGGGCAGCGGCGGGCCAGGCACTGCACGTTGCCGCTCTACAACGGGCGGATGGACCACGCCAGGCCGGGGTAGTGGTGGGAGGCGGAGGAGACCCCCACCGTTTCCACCCCCACCACCTCCCCAAGTCCCACCCCTACTCCCCTGGAGGCCTCTCACTCAGGCGGCTGACTCACCAGACATCGACACAGGCGGCAGGGGTCAGAAGGGTGGGGGAAGTCGGCTCCGTTGGGGTACTCTTTCCCACCAAAGGCACAGCCTGGGGAAGGGGGCAGCTATAGTCTGGGAGAGGCCCTTCCCCCCGGGCATGCTGCCCTCCCAGCCCTAAACGCCCACAGGTGGGGCCAAGCCATCTCAGGAGACCACCCCCCATCCCGCCAAGCTCACCATTACAGTCACTCTGGCAGCAGGGACCAGGCAGCGGGTGGGCACAGGAGGCCCTGGGGCAGGCCCGAGGCTGGCAGAGGGCATGGCCTTCCCGACACTGGCACTCCTGGCAGAGATCTCGAGGGTGGGGGAAGCTCTCACCATCCACAAACACTTGTTCCTCCAGGACGCAGTCTGGGCAGGGGCGAGAGGCAGGAGTGGGGACAAAGACTGACAGTGCTGGGAACAGGCCACCCTGTGCAGAGCCACTGTGGAAGTGCCACTTGGAAGCTGTTCCCATGGAGGGAGAGGAGAAGGGAGGCTGGGTATGCAGCACAGGTATTTCTCTGAGCATACTCTTGTGTGTGTGTGTGTGTGTGTGTGTGTGTGTGTGTTTGTACATTTGAGTCCCCTTTACCTGCAGGCAGACGTGTGTGCCTCTGAAGTTGAAGAGCAGAAGAGCTCATGCATATGTGTGCCTGTGTTTGTGACACACGCCCTAGCGTACTCTCCATGCGCACGGGCATCTGGGCACACTGCATCCCAGCACCCAGTCTCCTGAATGGCAGACCCAAATGTTTGTTGCATGCACCTGTGTTATACAGGTAGCCGTACGAATAATCCGAGTGGTGGGGGAATTGGAGAGGAAATGAAGGATGGGAGGGAAGGGTGGTGAAGTAACACGAAGGGATAAACAAATCTCTCCTCTCTCCCACCCATACCCTGTGAGTTCCAGAGAGTTCTAAGCTATGTCAACTGAAAACAATTCAGAAGACTCTTGCTTTCTAAGGTAGCTGCTAGGCCCATGGGGCCACGGGAGGGCAGGATCTAGAGACCCCCAGCCAGACAGGTGCAGTAAGCACGTACCTGGGCACTTGGGGCAGCACTGGCCGGGTCCACTCTGGGGCCTGGCACAGGTTGTGGGAGGGCAGTTGACCAAGGAGCACCTCACAGTCCCATCCTGGGAGCAGAGGAGAGGGCAATGGGGGTGGGCCCCAGGAGGGGCTCTGCAGGGCAGCAGTGAGCCTGGGGAAGTACCTCGCAGAGGCAGGTGTGGCAAGGGCTGTCTGCATCCGTGAAGTTCTGCCCGTTGGCATACACTTGGCCGTGGTAGGTGCAGCTGTCACAGCTGGGGCAACAGGCACCTGGGTGGGACAGGCTGATCAGAGCCCAGCTGATCAGGGGGCACTGGGCAAAGTAGAAGAAAGCTAGATCGAGGTGGGGCACTCACCAGGGTGCTGGGTAGGGTGCTGGCAGGGGGCTGGGGAACAGAGCACAGCCCTGCACATGGGCACCCCATCTTGACAGGAGCAGGCCGTGCAGGGCTGGCCATCAGGCTCCCACTGGACCCCCTCAGCAAACTCCTCTCCATCAAGCACACAGGCTACAACAAGGGAGCTGTCACCATGGCAACCCGGACACCTCCACCCATCGCTGTCCTTCCCAGGACCCTGGCTTTGCCATCCCCACGGCAGCCTCTGAACACACTCTGGCATGGTTGGTGGACTTAGCAATGACCCCCTTACTGTGAAGGAACACCCCTCCATCTCCAGCCACTGTGGACGCAGCATCCCTTCGCAGCTGTTCCCCGCTCCCACATATACACACACCTGGGCACAGCTGGGGGCCAGAGTCAGGCAGGGAGCAGGGGGCAACCGGGCACTCCTGCTCCTCACAGGAGACCTCGCCAGCCTAGGAGGGAGGCTGGGTGAGAAACCATCCAGGGATGAGAGAGATCTGGGACGTGAGAGGGTGGGACCTCCTACCCAGCAGGAGCAGCGGACACAGCGGCCACTCTCTTGGAGTCTGAAGGTCTCCCCGCTCTGATACTGGTGTCTCTGATACTCACAGCCTGCACAGGAAGACAAAGGGACCCGGGGACAGGGATGGAGGCTGATGGGGAAGCCATCAGGTACCCACCACTCACCCTGATGAGGACAGCCACCCGTGTCCTCTAGGAGGCCCTGCCAGCCTTCCTCCACCCCCAGGAGCGAGGTCTTCACCACGGTGCCCAGTTTGCCTTGGGCAGATGAGGTGAGAACCCGTCCCTCACCCATGGTAACAGTAGCTGAGTTTTATGAAGGATTTCCCCTGTCCTGTCCAAGGGAGGCAGCCCCCTCACATACCCAGAGCCTGACTCCGGCCAGTGCCTGCCCCGCTTCTGGTGACTCGAGCCCCCACTCACCGTCACACACTGGGCAGCACTGCCCAGGGATCCTGCCTGGGTGTCTGCAGGACACAGGTGGGCAGGGCAGAGGCTCACACTGGACACTCCCATTCTGCCAACAGGGCCCAGTCAGCATTCGAGAGGCAGGCCGGGCAGCCAGGCCCTCCCTGCCAGGCAGCCACACTCACAGCACAGTGGCAGTGTGAGCAGGGGTCCCCAGAGCCTATAGGCTCCCCGCTGCGGTATTCCCGTCCATTCAGGAAACAGCCTGTTGGGAAGAGGGTGCCTTAGATCCTCCTCAGGGGCCCCCCACCATCCTGTGTCCTGGCCTTTCTGGGAGACCCTAGCTGGGCCATCTGTCAGCTTTCTGAGCCCCTCCAGGCTCCACCCACTGGCTCACCATCACACATGGGGCAGCAGGTGCCTGGGAGGGGCCGGGCAGGGTACGGACACAGGCTGGCGCATTCTCGCTGGCGGCACTGGATGTGGCCCTCCTGGTAGCAGGCAGAGTGGACAGGGGAAGGGGCCATCAGAACTCAGCCAAGTGGCAGAAACAGCATTCAAGTCCCAGCTATCCACTTTTTAGATGTTGTTACCGGTTGAACTATGTCTCTCCTCAAATTCATATGTTGAAGTCCTAACCCCTAGTACCTCAGAATGTGACCTTATTTGGAAATAGGGTCATTGGAGATGTAATTAAGTAATAGATGCAGTTAAGATTAAGTTCAGTGCAGTTAAATTAAGATGAGGTCACACTGGAGTAGAGTGGCCTCTAATCCAGTGACTGATGTCCTTATAAAAAGGGGAGATTTGGACACAGACACACACAGGGAGAGCAACATGTGAAGATGAAGGCCAAAGCCAAGAGACACCAAGGATTGCCAGACAATCACCAGAAGCTGGAGAAAGGCCCGGAACAGATTCTCCCTCACAGCCCTCAAAGGAACCAACCCTGCCGACACCTTGATCTCAGACTTCTGGCCTCCAGAACTGCGAGACAATACATTTCTGTTGTTTAAGCCACTCCGTTTGTGGTACTTTGTTATGGCAGCCCTAGGAAACTAATACAGATGTGTAACCTTGCATGTTACTGAAGCTCTCTATGACTCAGTTTGCCCGCCTGAAAAAAAAAGAGACAATAATAGTCCTGTCCTCATAGCCTTGTTATGGGGATGAAATGAGGTAAGGTGTCTGGTGTGGCCCCCCCTCTGGAGGCTGGCAGTTAACAAACAGTAGCTGCTGCTCTCTCCACGGCCTTTCCCAGACAGATCCCCTCCTTGAGTTCACACCTACACCTGGGCTCACTACTCCAGCCCCATTAGTGTCTAGGCAGCCAGTGACCCTTCTCACAGGTAGGAGGAGGGGTCAGTGTGAACAGGGAGGGGAAGCGCATGGTTGCAAAGGGGTTGGGTGCCCCATGGCCTTCACAGTGGGGTCCTCAGTCCTTGGCAGGCTGTCAGGAAACTCTGTGGCTCTGGCTTCAGCCCCCATGATACACAGCCCTCCTCAGCATGCACCCTGTGTGGACATTAGGCCTCCATGTCTTCACCCTCCTCCCCCAGGCTTTGTCCTGACTGTTCCCTCCACCTGATGTCTTAATCCATTCAGGCTGCTGTAATAAAATCCCATAGACTAGGTGGCTCATAAACAGCAGAAATTAAGTTCTCACAGTTCTGGAGGCCGGAGGCTGTGGCAGATTCAGTGTCTGGTAAGAGCCCACTTCCTGGTTCCTAGATGGCTGTCTTCTTGCTGTGTCCTCACATGGCTGAAGAGAGGAGGTAGCTCTCTGGGGTCCCTTTTATAAGGGCACTAATCCCATTCATGAGGGCTCCACCCTTATGACCTAATCACCTCCCAAAGGCCCCACCTCCTAATACCATCACCTTGGGGGTTAGGATTTCAACATATGAATTTGGGGGGGACACAAACATTTAGTCTATAGCACCTGGAGTGTCTTTCCCCATTTCTCCCTGCTCAAATCCTACTCACCCTTTAAGACCTAGTTACACATCACCCCCTCCATGAAGACTTGCTAGATCTGTGCTGCCCAATAGAAGTATAACACAAGCCACACGTGTCATTTTAAATTCTCTAGTAGTCAACTTTCAGAAAGTAAAAAGAAACAGATGAAACTAAATTTTAATAACGTATTCTACTCGATCCAATATCCAAAATGTTATGTCAACATGGAATCAACATAAAGTATGAATGAGATATTTTAGATTCCTTTCTTTTGTACTAAGTCGTTGAAATCTGGTGTGGCCACATTTCAAGGGCTCAGTGGCCACATGCAGTAGTGGCTACGGATCGGACAGCACAGTTCTAGACGCCTCAAGTCAATTTGTGTTTCTCCCTCCCTGTAGCTTGTGTCGCCTGTCATGTCCTGTCCTGCCTCTCTCCTCCTGTAGCCTGTAAGCTCCTTGAGTTCGGCTCACAGACCCATCCTACATGTCTACTGCACGCAGAGCTGGGCGTACAGACAGGGATGACCCAGCCCCGGCTCTCACAGGGCCCGGGATCAAGTCTTCTCCATCTCTGTCCCCTCACAATGCCCATGGGATGTACTCAGTGGAATGAAGGAATGAATATGGAGAGCCTGGGGGCAGGGAGGGGTGGGGGAGCCCAGGAGCAGCACTGGGCCTCACCAGGCACTGGCAGATCTGGCAGGGGTCCCCTGGTGCGGTCCACTCTTGGCCATGCTCCCAGTGAGAGCCACCTTCTGTGCAGCCTGGAGGTGGAGGGGAGACAGGCAGAGAGGAGGCTTGGCAGGAGCCGGCCTGGACCCCAGCTTCAGCCTCCCCCCACCCTCCTCCACATGCCCTCTGAGGGCTCTCTCCTGAGCCCAGACCAGAGCAGGCCATGCCTCTGCCTAGACCCCTCTAGACCCCCCGGGGCTCCCAGTGCCCCAGGCAGAGTAAGGCCCAAGCTCCTTCGCCTGCCTTTCCAGGCCTTCCAAGACCCAGCATGGCCACGCCCACCTCCCCCAGCTCTCTCTGGCCCCTCCCCTCCTCTCACTGTAGGCGCCATTCACGCCTGCTTGCACCTTCCCTCCTAACATAACCCCACCTCAACTGAGTGTCAGTCCCGAGCCTTTGCTCAAGCTGCCCTCCTCCTGGAATGCACTCTGCCTTATTCTACCTTTCACCTAGCTGACTGCTCTTTATCCTTAAGGTTCACTCAGGACATGCTGCCTCCAGGATGCCTTCCCTCCTGTGCCCAGGCTGGATTAAGTCTCCTTCCTCTGGTTTCCATAGCATCTGTGCACCTGCTTCTAATCCTGCCTTTGTGACAGTATTGCTGTATGACTCAGTGTCACCCTCTAGTGGTCTGCTCGAGGGCCCACCCCGTGTCTTAGGTGTACAAAGCAGATAATGGTCACCATTTATGAAGGTATATAATATGATTATCCACATCTTACAAATGGGGACTGAAGTGGGTAACTCCCTCAGAGGCCCACAGCCACGAAGTGGCAAGGGCAGAATTTGAGCCCAGGCACCCCAGCTCCAGAGCAGGCATGGCTAGGCATTGCTCCCCCACTGACTGAACCCCCAAGTCAGAGGCCGACAGAGTGGGCTCTGGAGTTGAAGAAATGGCATAGCAGCCCCTCCTGGAGCTCCACCAGGGAAGGATCAGGGCTCTCACCTCGGCAGGTCGGGCAGCAGTGCCCAGGCCTCAGGACTGGCTCCGGGCAGGGGCTGGGCAGGCACTTCATGGGCACACAGCGAACCAGCCTCTTCTGTAATGCACCAACAGCTGTAATGCCTCCAGGTCTGGCTCCCATAGGAGGGCAGGGTGAGTAGGTGTCGGGCACCCTTGGAGGGGTGGGGCACAGGGTCAGGATGGAGGGAGAATCTCTCTGGCACCAGACCTCGGAAGGCATTTGAGGGGCTAAAAGAGTGGCAGGTGTGGCCCAAGGCGGAGCAGGGGATGTCCAAGGAGGAGCAGGGCTTGGTCAAATGTTGGGGGGACTCACCAGGCAGGAGCACTGGAGACAGGGGTTGGAGCTGGACAGGAAGTTGGCCCCCTCCTCATAAAGCTGCCCCTCATACTCACAGCCTGGGGAGGATTGCCAGGATGACAGGCTGGTCAGCAGAGAGCAGGGTGGGTGGACATCACCCGAGGGAAGGCATGACCCCAAGTAGGTTCTGGACCCTCTAGGGCAGAGGGGATGGAGGGGCAGGGCGGGGCGGGGAGGTCACCTGGCCGGCAGACGGGGCAGCACTCCCCAGGTGGGGTGTAGCTCTCCAGGCAGTTGAGCTCTGAGCATGAGGGCCCCTGGCACTGCACCGTCCCTGCCTGCGGGGCAGACACTGAGCCCTCCCTCCCTCTCCACTGCCCTAGCCGGGTCACTCTGCTGGCCTAGCAGGCCTAGCAGGCTCCAGGCCTCGATGTCTGGGCAGCAGCAGCAGCCCTGTCTGGCTCCCAGATCGGGCATGGCACTGCCAGGCCTGGCATATGCCAAGCAGCAGGGATGTGGGTGGTGGCTGGGGCCAGGCCCTGCTTCCCTTACCTGGCAGGTGCAGATGACACAGGGCTCCAGTTGCCACGTTTCCCCAGCCTTGTGGCCTCCAGGGCAGCCTGCAAAACCAGGCCCAGGCCCCCAAGTAAGAGACCCAGGGGACACCAAATCCAAGGGGCACCATTCAGGTAATAGACATAAGAGATTTCTGTATTTACTACAACTTTCCAACAGATGGCAGTAAAGTGTCTGACTCTAAATCTGCATATTTCCATTATTTTACAACATATGGAAGTGAAGTATCTTAGGAAAGGGTGCCTTTTTTTTTTTTTTTTTACTTCACCAAAGACATCATATGTCTTGATGGGCTAGCAGTGGCCCTGGGCCACCATGTGTCCTGTAGGCTGTGTGTGTGTCCCTTTTCTTTGAGATCCATCAGCTCCCAAGGCTTCACTCCTCATCTCCGGCCAAGACTCCCAGGTTACAATTCCAGACCCCACTCGTCTCCTGAGCCCCTGTGCCACCTTTCGCACTACCAGCTGAGATTCCCTGGGGTAGGGTTGCCAGATAAAATACAGGACACCCTATACAGAGCATCCTAGATTTTTATCTGCTAAATCTGGCAACCCTATCTCCCTGACGGTGAGCTAGTAACAACCCCAGCAGAACCACCGCCTCCACTTCCTCCCAGTCTCTCCATGTCATCGGCACCACTGCCCTCCTAGTTTCCCAAGCTCAGCATCCACTATTCTGTAGGGTCCAACCGCTCACCAGCTCCTGTCCGCTTTTTGGAAACACCCCTCTTTCTGCAGCCCACTGCCACCCCTGGCTCCATGCCTAAACACTGCTGTAATGCCCCCTAACTGGTCTCTCTGCATCTAGTCCATAACAGATGAAAACTCCTAAAACACCTCTTCAAACATGCCACACTCTGGCTCTTCAGCCTTTAATGGCTCCCCATTGCCCACAGAAGAAAGTTCCAACTGCAAGGCTTACAGCAGTCTGTTCCCACTGGCCTTCCCAGGCTTATTTCCTGCAACTCACCTCTCCTCACCCAGTTCTTGTGCCCAGAAGGCCCTCAAGTACTCCCTCTCCTTCTAGTAAAATCCCACTTTCCCCCAGCTCAGATGACCCATTGTCTGTAAGCCCACCTGACTGGCTAGTCTAAGTGGGCTTCCCCTGCCTTCCTGCCCCCTCCTCTGGCAACTAACCAACTAACCACTTACTGTCTTTCTACACCTCCTCTTAATCTGTTCATTGGATCTTAAATCTTGTGCTATATTAGCTATGAGTTTATCTAGTTTATCAACTAGATTAGAAGCCCCCTAAGGGCAAGACAAAGATCATGCAGAGCATCTGGGTCAGTCCCAGGCTGGAGGCAGTGTTTGCTGACTTGAGCCTTCTGAACTCCCAGCACTGCCAGCGTGAGTGGGGAGGCACATTCCAGGCATGTGGCAGGTGTCAGACCAGGCTCTGGGGGCCCCAGGATGAGTGCAGGAGGTGGGCGGGGCTGGCAGGAGGCTGACCTGGCTCACAGTGTGGGCAGCATGCTCCTGGCTCCAGGCAGGGTCCTCTTGGGCATGGCTTCTGAGTACAGGTTATGGCTCCTTCCTGTGGGGAAGCAGACTGGTGGCTGCACAGGCCTCAGAACCCTGGAGGGCAGGCTTTCTAGAACCAAAACCTCACCCCAGGCTGGGACACGCCAGAGGAGCAAGAGGCTGAGTTGGCTCAGGGTATGTGGGCTATCCTTGGTCCAAGGGCAGAAAGAGACATCCTACCCCACTCCCATCATCTCCTGCAGCTCTCGACCCCTGGAAACCAGGTGCCAGCAAATTCCCCAGAGTGGAGAGATCCTAGGAAGGGAACCAAGGGCTTCCTTAGTGGAGCAATGAGGAAGGAAAGGCTGGAAAAAAGTGAACCTAGAGCCAAGTGAGGAAGAACAGGCAGGTAGAAGACAGGAGTAGATGGACAAGCAGGGACAGTGAGGGTCCACAGGTGAGGGAGCGATGTAGGAAGACAAGCAACTCCATCCTCTGTCCTCCACGCCATAATCAGAGTGTGTGTGCGGGTTGAGCTCCAGAAAGTAGAACTACTCAGAATCAGCTGAAGACCACAGTGGCAAGGCTTGGGGGAAGGGGCAGACCCCATTACTTAACATGCAGCACACCAGGCTGCAGCAACAGGCAGACAGGTGAGGGGGACAGGTCCAGGATACCAGGGGGGTCACAGGAACTCACCAGGCAGTGGCAGGTGGTGCAGGCGTCTGGGGAGAAGGTCTCCCCATTGCCATAGGCCTGACCATCTTGGTGGCAGCCTGGAGGAGGAGACAGTGCTGTCACTCAGGCACTCAGGGCCATCTCCAGGCCCCGAGAGGTCTCAGCTGGCAGATGGATGGCGCTCACCACGGCAATTGGGCAGGCCAGGCTTGGGGTCACAGTGCGCAGCCCCATCCTGGCAGATGCAGGCTGTACAGGCATCAGGCTCCCAGCGAGCCCCCTCAGGCCAGGCCCGCCCCAGCCCCCAGCACTGGGAGGAAGCTGGGCGGCATTCACAGGACTCCAGCTGCCTCACCCTCTCCTGCAGCTCCTTGTTCTGGGGGAAAGAAGTAGGGGGTTGGAGGCACTGGCTCAGCTTCCCCCATCATCTCCTGCAGATTTGTGGAGTGTGAAAACAGAGGCAGGATGAGAAGGCAACTTGGCAGTTCCAGAGCAGGGGTGGGTCCCCCTCCAGTCAGCATCCAGCTCAAATCGTCCCAGTTCTCAGGGCCTGGGGTCTGGACAGGCTCCCAGGGAGCATGGGGCCCCCAAGACTCTCCTTTGGACAGCAGAGGACCCAATCATCCCGCCCCAACAGGTCAAGACATCTTTCTCCATCCAGAATCTCTCCTGATGATGCCCTATATATAGTAGGTGCTCCATAGTATTTGTCAAATGCATGAAAGAATATGAAAATCTGGATTGACAAATCAACTACCCTGGAGGTTCTTCACGTGTATGCCAAGAGCCGACGAGGGGAACTGTTCAGATAAGAACCTCTCCGAGTGTATTTAAAATAAAACTTTATTTTAGGGTTCTCCGGGCGCCCCCAAACCCCACTGCACAAGGCCTGCCCTACCCCATGCACACTCGCCGGCCTCCAATGGTACCTGCTCTCTGAGCTCTGTCACCTCAGCCTCCAGCTTTCCCAGCTGCTCCTCCAGGGGGCGCCACTGCTCCTGGGGGGCCCCAGCAGGGGCTGAGTGGGCAGGTGCCTGCTGCTGGTAGTCATGGATGTCAGCAAGCCGAGGGTGTTCCCTGGGCACCGCCCTACCTGAAGGCACAAGAATCCAGGGTGGGCTATGGGTGAGGGGCTAGCAAGGTTCCCTGAGTTCTGTTCTCCCAACCATGTCATGCTGCGCCCCACCCTGTCCACCTGCCCACCCACCATCCAGGCAAGGGGACATGATCTACAAGGATGCTGGAGTGAAAGCATGGAAGGAGGAAGAGGGAGCCCTGGGTGGACAAAAGTGACCCAGACAAGCCTTCCCAAGTAGCAAGAACCTCTTAGTCAGGTACAAGCCCCAGGGACCCTGACAGGCTGGGGGCACCAGGGGAGTATCTAGACCAGGGCCTCCCTGCAGCCTGCCCCGACTCTGCAGGGGTCCCCAGCCATAGGAGGTATGTCGGGGTCATCCGTCCTCACTTGGGCCAAGGACTTGGCCAGGGGCAGCCTGGGGAGCTGACATGTCATGCTGGGAGGGCCCAGAAGCCAGCACAGGCTGAAGTGCAGAAGAGGAAGATAGACATGTGAAAGGCAGGTCTGCTTTAAGGTGCCTGGGATCTGGAGTGAGCAGACCCCACCCTCCAGCTGCCTGTCTTCACCTGTCGAAACGGCACTGCTTTTGGAGACTGTGTGCAGGGAGAGGCAACTGCTCCCTCTGTTCCCACCGCCAAGCCTTGCCACTGGTTTCCAGGCCTGTGGCAGAGGGGTCTGGGGACCCCACTTTGGATAGGGTGGGTTCCAGAAAGCGGGACTTGGCTGCATTTCCTGGAGAGTTTGGGGAAGGTGCCAGCAGGGCCCCACTAGCTTTTAAGGCACTGGGCCAAATGAAGACAGCCTGTCAGCCTGTCTTCTGGAAGTCACTATGCCGAGGGAAGGGGGGCCCTCTGAGTTCAGGCCTGGGGTTGGGGATGGCCACTTTCACCTCACTTCGATTCCTCTCCTAAGTCAGGAAAGTAAAGGCCATGGGGGGCTAGGCTGACTCCTCTCCCACCAGTGGAAGTGGGCAGGGCAGTGGAGGGTCTGGAGGAGGACTGGAGGAGGCGAGTGAGGAGGAGACAAAGGAGAAGGGACAGGAGGAGGGAGAGGAGAGCGAGGGGGAGGGTTTCCCACAGAGGCAGCTCATTAGTGAGGCGGGGCCTAGGGTGGCTAAAAGAGTTTCTAACGGACACTAGTCCTGTGAGGCAAGGGAACAATGCCAGCCACTACTCCCACCAATTGCCACCAAGGGCGGTTGGAGATTCTAGACCAAAACCTAAGTTGTCCTCTTTCTCCCAAACCTGCTTTGCCCTGAGTTCCTTGGCTTGGTTAATGCCATCCCCACCTACCCAGAAATCCATGGCTCAGCTTCCCTCTTTTGTATGCCTCCCAAACCCATCAGTCTCTGGTCTCACTCAGTCATCCCCCAATCCAACCCCTCTCGCCTCCCCTACTCAGGAGGCTGCAGAGCCTGGGCGGGCGCGACCGCCTCGCTTCCTCCACCTGCTCCTCTTCTCTCTGCAAGACCTTTCTGAATCACACATCTGACGGTTCCCAGCAGCAAGTCCAAATGTGACCTCACAAGTGCCACCTAGCCTTTCAACCTGCCCTGCTACCCCCCACATCCAAGGTTCTAACACCGGTTCTAGCACAAATGCTGGCACCCAAACCTCTTGTGCATGTTCCCATCCCCGTCCCTTGTGCAGGGATCCTGTCACCTGGAATGGCACTCTGTCTTGGTATGGCTCCTGTACCCAGCTTCCCTCCAAGCCCCATGAAGGGTGGCCAAGGATAGGTCTTAGCATCTTAAACCCTCCACCCCAGCTTGACTTCCATCTGGCTTCACCCCACATCCCATGATCCCTCCTCTAGTCCTGCTTAAGCAGGCACAATAAGGGGGTCGGGGAGAAGCTAGGGTCCTCTGGGACCTTCAGGCATGACAGAGCCAATCCCTTGCCTGGAGAGACCTGCAGACAGTTCCTGATTGTTGCTCAAAGCCTGATGGCTCCCCACGGAACTGTCCTCTGCTCCCCTCCCAGCCTCCCCGTGCGCAGTCCCTGCACTGACCAGTCTGTTCCTGCCTGTCCTCCTGGGTGAAAGCCAGACACAGAGACTCAAAGTCAGCTCCCATCGCAGGCCTCCTTTTTTTCCCCTTTCTCAAGACAAATAATTAACTTCAGACTCCCAGATTCCAGGGCAGCCTCTCCCCCACCGCTGCCTGCAGGAATTCCTCCCGAGGCCATAGCAGGAAGCCCCTTCCCGCTTCTGGCCCCGGTGCCTTCGCCTTAGCCTCCGTGCTGCCCCCACCGTGCTGGCTCCTCCACCGACGGGGAGGACTGGGGCTGGCCGGAGAGGCGCGCGCACCCCAGGGCAGGCCCGCGGGAGGCTGCCCGGCCCCAGCTCAGTCCCCCAGACTAGGCTGAGGGAGAGGTGGGGCCCTCCCCGCTGGCCCCCAGCCCTCGGCGCCCCGACTTACCTCTGCCGGTCCCCGGGGCCAGCGCCAGGCTCGAGAGCTGCAGGACGAGGGGCAGCAGACCGGCGAGGGGCCCCGCCATGCTCGCTCCGCCTCGCTGTCTGTGGTCGCGGCTCAGCGGGCGCTGGGGGAGGCGGGGTGGGGAGACACCAGGCCGCCTCCCACCCAGGCTTTGTTAGGGGAGGGCTTCTGGCGTCTGTCATCCCGCCGGTGGCGCCCGCCTCCCTGATGGGCACCTGGACCTCTCGGCCCCAGCCCCACCCTGACCCCAGACCTGGCTCAGAGGTGCAGCGAGCCACCCCCCCCAACCTCGGTGAGCAGCCCCAACCCCCAAGGAAACTGGGAGGGTGTGGGAGCAACGTCTCCTGCCTCTGATCCCAGAGGAGACCCTGAAAATAAACACGAATTCATCACTCTGGGCTCTGGGACAGCTGCTCTCCCTGCCCCCTTGGGTTCCTCCATCCGCCCTGGGCTTTCTGGTTCAGCTTTTTCCCTTTCTCATGGGTTTATAGGAGAAGCCGACTCAGCTGGGTTGGAATCCCTGCTCAGCCAATTCCATGTGCCCTTAGACCCCTAACTTCTCTGTGCCTTGGTTTCCCTGTTTGTAAACTAGGGATCATGATATGTACTTTACAGACTTGCAGTGAGGATTAAGTGAGATTACGTAGATAAAGAATTTAGGGGAGTGGTTGCCACATGCTAAGTGTTCAGTAAATAACAAATAATTGTGATAGGTGCTGCTCGAGGTCTCTGAAGTTAAAGGCCCGGGTCTCCTCCTCCTTTGTCCCCCTGTACATTTCTTTCCTGGACTCTGCTCACTACTGGTGTCCACCTCAGCAGCCCCAGGCTTGGCCCTGAACTCCAAGACCTCGCTCCGCTGGCTGATCCCAGCCCATGTTCCAGCTCCTGAGCTCAAGTCTGGCCTGGGGGGTGAGCTGAGGCAGCAGGCAGGGCAGAGGGCAGGGCTGGGCCCTGGGCTCAGCAAGTGGAGGGGGCCAAAGGGAGGAACTGAGGAGAGCTGGCCACGTAGGCCTGCAAGGCTGGGAAACTCCTCAGTGCAGCTGGGAAGCAGGGGGAGGTGGGGATGGGCCCCAAGCTCACAGGCAAAGGGACACTGAGGGCGGAGCCGTGAATCCTGCCAAAGCAGTCTCCCTACTGCCATAAAGGCCAGTAAGTCAGAAGCCACCCCTCCCCCCAGCCCAGGCAGGGACTAAAGGTCCCCCCAGCCCACTCTCCATGCACCTTAAGAGAGGCCCCGGTCTCTCCTCAAGAGTGTGGGCTTCTGATAGGGCCTGAGCAGCTGGCGGCAGGGGGAGGGGAGGCCGCCAGCCAATACTGAGACCTGGCCTCAGCCGGCCTGGAGCTAAGCTCACAGGAGCAGAGGAAAGCCAGGGCCAGCCACTGGGAAAGACACGAGGAAGTGGCAGCTCTCTTCCTACCAGGGTTAAGGAAAATGGTGCCTGTTATAAGGCAGGTCCCCTGGGAGGCTGGCTGGAGGGGAGGCTAAGAGCAGACTCTGGTGAGGGCTGCTAGGTCACGTCGTGGATGTGACAACACTTTCTGCTGTGTGAACTCAGGCAAGTCATTTAACTTCAGGGGCTAATTTTTCATAGGCGTGGCATGTAGCTCTAATAGCACCCACCTCATAGAGTGTTTGTGAGGCTTAAGTCAGTTACTGGCTGGAAAGAACACTCCAGCACGGTACCTGGCATGGAGGCATTAACTCTTATCACTGCTCTTATGTGATCTCTGACCGGCACCCCAACCGTGCAGGGAGCGTGCTTTCATTCCCATTTTACAGATGAGGAATCGGAGAGACACTAGGTAAGCAGCTCAGAGTCACGCTGGGAATAAACCACGGAGCCTGGAATCAATGCCAGGTCCTTGGGACCCCAGGGCCTGGCCAGACCAGTCCACATTGACCCCTGGCCACTCAGTCTGGCCTCACCCTTGGCATGACCCAGCCTCTGAGACAGGGGGCTCGTGCTTCCAGCAACTTTTGGGGTCATTCTTTCCTAGAGTCAAAGACGGCGCACTTGTCAGGACTTGTATCCTTCTACTACTCCCTGTAAACTTCATCGTCACCGCGAGCCCAAACCCAGCCATCCCTGGTCACCCTGGCCTGACTCCCAGCTGCTTCCTGCTCTGTAAATCCCCTGCTCTGCCCAACCCGCTTCACCCCTGGCCTCCTGCAGGGCCTCCTCCAGCCCCACCACCTGCCACCTCCGTGCCTCTGTTGGAGCACCTGAGGATCACTGGAGAACATCCCCCCACTTGGCTGTCTAGTTTCACTTCAAATTCATGGCCACAAACCTCAACAGACATTCGCAACACTGCCAGAAATCCTGCTACAATGCCCTGGTAAACGCAATCTCCCACTCCCCGAGAGGAGCATTTCAGACCCTCTCCTTCCTTCCCAAAGGTGTCAGCGGTTCTGCCCTTACCCCACGTATGATCTTGGCAGGTTACTGAACCTTTCTAAGGCCCAAGTTCCTCCCCTGTGAAGCAGGGCTAATAATAGCACCTCTGTCATGATTGTTATAAGGATCGTCTTAGCCTGAGTTCTATGAAAGCAGAGCCTGAGACAAAGGCTTACATGCATGTTTATTTTAGAATATGATCCCAGGGAGCAGGAATGAGGGCTGGGGAGAGCAAAACAGGGAAGGATGGAGAGCCAATGCAAGGTGACTTATGGAGGAGCTGGTCACTGCTATGGCGTCTTTGTGTCCAATCCCGCAGGACTGTCTGAGTCGTATAAAATGGCTCAGAGCAGAAAGTGGAAACACTTACGCATTGGCATCGGTACCCATTGGTCTAGGGTAGCCCCGCGGGGCATTAGCTGCTCCCAGTGATGTATGAGTGAGTGCCCAAGTGGGTTCCCAAGAGTGTCCAATACCATACATCAGAGAAATTTCAAAGCAAGAAGGGAGAGATTTGCAGCAGAGCCCGAGGTGAAACACTGCCGGGATGCACCTGTGCAGAGCTCTCGCAGCCTGCGTGGAGCTGGAATAAGGTGCGGCTGAAACGATTTGTATAAGAGGTATCTAACCAATGGGACAATGTACATAAAAAACTTTTTACAGCGTCTGGCGCATTTTAAGCACCCAAAATACATTATTATTTTTATTAAGATAATCATCATCTTCTGCTGAGGCTCAACCTGAAAAGCCAATACTAGCATTCTTTTTTTTTTTTTTTTGTGAGGAAGATCACCCCTGAGCTAACATCCATGCCAATCCTCCTCTTTTTGCTGAGGAAGACCGGCCCTGAGGTAACATCTATTGCCAGTCCTCCTCCATTTTTTTTCCCTTTTTCTCCCCAAAGCCCCAGTAGATAGTTATATGTTGTAGTTGCACATCCTGCTAGTTGCTGTATGTGGGACGCAGCCTCAGCATGGCCGGACAAGCCGTGCGTTGGTGGGCGCCCGGGATCCGAACCCGGGCCACCAGCAGCGGAGCGCGTGCACTTAACCGCTAAGCCACGGGGCCGGCCCCAATACTAGCATTCTTTATCCACAACAGAAGGTAGAGAAGCTTCTAGAAAACTCACTCTATGAAATAAAAACCCAGGGCCCTGAGGAAAGGGTATTATTTGGAGAGGCATTTGAGTTTCCAAGGTGAGCGGTCACCATGAGCCTCTTTTGTGCCAGGCATCAAGCCAGATACAGGGAGATGATGATGAACAAAACATAGTCCTGGCCAGAATGTCCCGTGCAGGCCAAAGGATGGGGGAACAGGGTTCCTGGCAGAGGGAGGGGTGTGAGCACAGGACCATACATGCACACAAACGTCAGGCTTGGAATAAAGGGCTCGCGATCTCGGCTGGGATAGTGGAACCAGATACAGCCATCCTGACCAAAACCCAACTCTTTCTTTAGAAAGAGGAACATTCTGGCTAGAGAAAGAAAGAATGACTCGGGCCCAGGCTTGAGACCTTACTTGGCAGGGTGGTCCCCAGTGTGGAGTAGAGTGTGGGCGCCAGTGGGGCGTGTGGGCACAGTAGCCTGTGTTGCCATGCAGGGCAGCAGAAGGGCTCCAGGATGTAGAGTTGGTGAGTTCTGTGTTGCTCCACCACTTAGTGTCTGTGCTGGCCATTCTCCATTTCTCCCCCTCCCATTCATGCTCCTCCCTCTGGGCCCCCTACAGACTGCATTGCTCTGGCTTTTTGCTCTGTGGCTTCCTGTGGGTTCAGCCAAGAAGAGCACTGGCAGGGCTGGCGGGCAGGAGAGGAGAGTGGTTGGGAGATTTCTTCCTTCCTCCTGCTCAACGTGGGCTCTGGTGGTAACACTATTCCCTCTCCTTGTCCCCTCAGCCTAGGGGGCGGCAATGACTTCCTGCTATTGTTAGTCCCTGGTCTTCACCAACCATTGTTGATTCTCTTAACTGTGCAGGCAAATCTGTCGCTAGTCCCTTCTTTAAGTTCTCTTTAGCTAAACCCTTTTGAGGGGAATTCTATTTTCTTCTGGGTCCTTAGCCTATATGCTAACCTTACCACTTACTCCACTAGGTTATTCTACCTCCCTAAGTCAAAATCTTCCATCTGTAAAATGAATAACCCCCACCATAGGTTGGGGGAGTCCAATGAGGCAACGAACACATAATGTGTGTCTGACATACGTGTGACGCCCGGTGCACACAGACCCCAATACAAGTTACCCCCCGTCCCTTACCTCCTTCAGGTTGTACTGTCAATAGCAGCGGGTTGGTTTTCTCTCTGGATTTGGTAGCTGGAAGCAAAAGGTTGCTGTGAGGAGGGAGGGAGAGAAGGGATTAGTTCAAAATTAAATGATTAAGTTTTTGCACTTCTGGGGCCAGCCCAGTGGCGTAGTGGTTAAGTTTGCGCTTTCCGCTTTGGCGGCCCAGCGTTCTCCAGTTTGGATCCTGGGAGTGGACCTACTCACCGCTCATCAAGCCATGCTGAGGCAGCGTCCCACATAGAAGAGCTACAACTCTACAACTATGTACTGGGGCTTTGGCGAAAAAAAAGAAAAAGAAGAAGATTGGCAACAGATGTTAGTGCAGGGCCAGTCTTCCTCAAAAAAAATAAATAAATAAATAAAAATTTTTGCACTTCATTTGATAGCTTTCAAATCATACCAGCTGTAACAAATGAAACAAGATACCACAAAGGTATGACGGCAAAGCCCATCATTATGTCTGCTCCAGCCCCCGTCCTTGCCCATCCACTCCCACCCCAATGTGACCAATGGTAACAAGGCTATGTCTTCCACACGCTTCACCTGGCTCACACAACCATATGTGAGCATGTGTACACCATGTGATTTCGTTTGGAGATGGTATTTTGGAACAAGCTCCCGTCCCCACCCCGCCCACAATGCTTGCCAACTTGCCCCTGAGTCACCTCTCTCAGTGGCTCCCATCTCAATCTCCCAATTCCCTCAGGACCCTCTCTCCCCACTTTCAATATTAGGTCACCCCAGGCAAAGGTTACCCCTGGTTGACCAGCTGAGCAGCTGCAGGGGGTGGGGAATGTACTGTTTGTCATAGATCAGAGATCCTAATTCCATAACTGTATCCCACGGCCCGGTTACCCTTCCCCCAAGTTCAGAGTAAGTAGCCCATTAGTCCCCTTCCAGGAAGAGCCTCCTTTGCCCGTCCTTAAAATGCCCGCAGGGGTCCACCTCACCACGTTCCAGGAAGTGTGCCAAGCTGCAGCATGCCAACTCAAGTACGAAATATCGGTCCACTCACTTGACCATCACTGCTCACAGGTGAATACTCACAGTTGGAACCGAATACTTCCTTGTTGAACTGAATCTGCTGGGATTTTAGGAGTGTGTGTGTATTGTTTGTTTTTGTTTTTAGCATTGAGAGGCCAATGCCGTCAGATAGCACGTCTGAACCCCAAAGCAGAGCCAGGACCTGGGGGCTGGGCAGGTTTCCAGGTGCCCACACAGGGACCTCCAAGTTTTGAGGTTCTCAGCCTAGAGGGGAGCTTGCCCATCACCCTTGTGCCTATTCCCACCTAGGGCTTCTCCAATCTCTTTTCTGACTTTGTTTTCTCAAAAACTTATCCTTGGGATTCCCATAAGGCCTCGAGAAGCTAAGAGGATGGAGGAATCAGGGGAGGAGATATGTGTGGCTTCCTGCCTGTAATTCCCTCTTCTTCCCACCCATTTCTCTCCCTCCTGTCCCTCATGGCCCTGCTTTCAAACTTGCTCTCAAGCTTCAACAAAGCCTCCTCCGGCAGTTCCGGGCAGCACTACCACTTAGACCAGCACAGTCCAGTGGAACTTTCTGCAATGACGGAAATGTTCTATATCTGCACTCTCCAATATGGTGGCTCCATGAGGCTACAGAGTACCTGTCACGGCTCGTGCAATTGAGGATCTGAATTTTAAATTTTTATTTAATTCTAATTAATTTTAATAGAAATAGCCATATGTAGCTAATGACTACTGTACTGGACAGCACATATTTAGACCATAAGTCAACTTTGTGCCAATTAGTGAAAAGTGCTACTTCTCAAGACAGTTTCCTTCCTTCCATTGGCTGGCAAAGTTTTGTGATAGATCCACAATGGGTATGATGTGAGTGAGGCCCCTAAAGTTGTGCAGTGCACAGCCCTATGTGGCAGCCCTGGCTCCAGGCACCCACCGGCAGGTGGCAGTGGTAATGACTGCTGTGCTGGGAGTACTCCATGGGAATCAGGCATGGGCTGGGTGGGTCACCAGATTATCAGAATTCATGCCGACCATGGCTCTAGGAGGTGGGTGCTATGATGGCCCCCATTTTACCAGCTGGGAAACTGGGGTTTGGAGAGTTTAAACAGCGCAGTCAATGTCAGTCAGCTGGAGAGTGGAGGGACTGGCACTTCATCCCAACTCTGACTCCTAACCGTGACAGAGATCTCTGCCTGCTCCTCTCCCACCACCCATGACTTCTGCACACTGAGAACTTCTGCTGCCCCTCCTCCCGCAGCACTGGGTCTTCACTCAGTTACAAGATTCAGGCTTACTCTCTCTTGCTCACTGGGCTGGAGCGCCCGGAGGGCAGGTCAGCTTTGCCAGCTCTGCCCCTCCCCTGCTTTAACCCCAGGGTATGGCTATGGGGGCTGTTTGGCAGGTACCAGTAGATGGGCACACCTAAGGGTCTCTCCTCCCACCACCTCAGTCCCATTGCAAAACCCACGGATTGGGGGGTTGAGGGGTGGTACTGAGTCTCAGAATTTCCAGAGGGCCCCAGGATTCAGACCTCAAACAGAAGCACGGCCTGCCAGGGTCAGACAGCCTGCCTCAGAACTGGCCCAATTCTGTCTCTGGTTCTGAGGGGCTGGATGGAGGCTGGTGAAGGCATTCCCTACACTTGCCCAGGGCCTTCTGCTCTGGGTTAGCGCAGCACCCCTCAGCCATTCTCTTGACTCCTTTGGCTTTCAGGCTCTGAGCTGCCAATGCTCGCCTTCCCACACTGGCTGGGCAGAGGAGACACGATCTCACAGGACTTTGGGCCAAGACTAGCCAAAGGGCCTCTGGTCAAGGAACTGGTCTCACCCAGCACCGAAGCCCCACCCCACAGTTTAGAGGCAAACAAGACCTTAGATAGGGGCTGAGGGAGGGGGAATGGCAACTATTCCTTCCAGGTGATATGAAGAGAGAGTCAGAGGGCAAGGGGGTAGAGGCCAGTGGATCAAGACCACAGCTGGAGCCAACTTGAGGCACCAGATGTCCTGGCATCCAGTGATGGCCTCAGCTTTCCCTTTAAAAAAATTTTTTTTGTGACAGTTTTATTGAGATATAATTCACATACCATAAATTCACCTGTTTAAAGTGTACAGTCCAATAGTTTAGCACATTCACAGAGTTGCGCAACCGTCACCACAATTAATTTTAGAACATTTCATTCACTCCAAAAAGAAACCCTGTGCCCTTTAGCATTCACCCCGTATTTCCCACCACCACCCATTCCCCAGTCCTAGGCAACCACTCGTCTACATTTTTTCTCTGTGGAGTTGCCACTCTGGACATTTCATATAAATGAATCATACAATATGTGTCCTTTGTCTGACTTTGTTCACTTGGCATAATGTTTTCAAGGTTCATCCATGTTGTATCATGTATCAGTACTTCACTTGTTTTTATTGCCAAATAATATTCTGTTGTATGTATATACTGTATTTTATTTTTCCATTTATGAGTTGATAGGCATTTGGGGTGTTTCCACTTTTTGGCTATTATGAATAATGCTGCTGTGAACATTCATGTACAAGTTTTTGTGTGGACACATGCTTTAATTTCTCTTGGGTGTACAAGTAGGAGTGGAATTGCAACATCATATGGAAACGCTATCTTTAACCTTTTCGTGAACTGCCAAATTGTTTTCCAAAGCGGCTGCACCATTTTACATTCCCAGCAGTGTATGAGGGTTCCAATTTCCCCACATCCGTGACAACACTTGTTATTATCTGACTTTTTTATTATAGTCATCCCAGTGCGTGTGAAGCAGTATTGTGGCTTTGATTTGCATTTCCCTGATGACTTATGATGTTGAACATCTTGACACGTGCTTATTAGTCATTTATATATATTCTCTGGAGAAATGTCTGTTCAAATCCTTTGCCCATTTTTAATTGAGTTATTCATCTTTTTATTATTCAGTTGTAAGAGTTCTTTATGTATTCTAGATACACAAATCACTTGTTAGGTATACGGCTAGCCAATATTTTCTCCCATTCTGCGGACTCTCTTTTCACCCTTTTGATGGTGTCCTTTGCAGCACAAAAGTTTCTAATTTTGATGAAGTCCAATTTATCTGTTTTTTCTTTTGTTGCTTGTATTTTGGTGTCATATTTTGGGAACCATTGCCTAATCTAAGGTTAGGAAGATTTATCCCTGTGTTTTCTTATAAGAGTTTTATAGTATTAGCTTGTACATACAGGTCTTTGATCCATTTTGAGTTAATTTTTGCATATGGTGTGAGGTATGGCTCTGTTGTTAGGTGCGTATATGTTTATAATTGTCACCTTTCTGATGGATTACTCTTTTATCATTATAAAATGTCCCTCTTTATCTTTAGTAACTTTTTTGTTTTAAAATCTATTTTATCTGATATTAGAACAGCCCCTCCAGTTTTCTTATGGTTGCTGTTTGCCTGATATACCTTTTTCTGTCCTTCTACTTTAAATCTATTTGTATTTTTAAATCTAAAGTGTATCTTCTATAGACAGCATATTGTTGGATTTTGTTTTATCATCTGGTCTGATGATCTCTGCTCTTTGATTGGGTTGTTTAATCCATTCACATTATTGACATGGTTGTATTTGCATTTGCATTTTACTTGTTTTCTAAATATCTCAGGTCTTTTTTTCCCTCTATTTCTCCTAGACTGCTTTCTTTTGCATTAAGTGAATATTTTCTGTATAATGTTTTAATTATTCCTTTAATTATTTTTTTTACTGTATTTTTTGAGTCATTTTCGTAGTGGTTGCTCTAGGGTTTACCTACAGACAGCTTACTCTACTGCTTTCCTATCCCACCCAGGTAAGTTGTCGCCATGAAAGGTCCTGAGCAGAGTGTGCAGGCAGGAAAATTACCCGAGGAAGGATGGCCTTGGACAAGGGGGCCACAGGGAGGAGGACTGAGGTGTTGAGATGGCCACAGGGTGGCCCCAGCGAGCGATACAGAGGCTGCAGCGCTGACGGAGTTTTTGGGGCTGCACAGCCCTCAGGATCCCCTCAGATTTTATGAGTCAGGACAGATGTCCAGGTCCAGGAAAACACATGTCCTAAGCTCTGGGCACCGCTTATTGGTATCCCTGCCATCAGGCTCCCCTGGCAACTGCCCCTGCTGGTCCATCATGCCCCTGAATACCTCCCACTGTAGACCCTGCGCTGGTCCACATTCCCCTCTGCCCCCAGGGACCAAGAGGCTGTGGGGGCAGGGCTCAGTGGGAAAGCTGGCTGCCCTCCTTTTCCGGAGAGCATCCTAAAATTCAAGGCTTGATCTGGGAACTGCTGGAGGGCAGACAAAGGGATGAAGGATGGAGTGAGGGGATCTGAACTTGAGGAAGCATTGGGCATGGAGGGCTGCTGAATGTTTCTGCCTTCCTGGTCCAGCCAGTGGCACTGCTGAAAAAGCAAAGGGTTCCTCCTGGAACCCCACTGTCAGCGGATCTGGAAATCTTTGGGAATAGACTTGGGAGCAGGGAGCAGGTGGAGTCCAGGACAAGGTGAAGACCCAGGGTTGCCTACACACCAGGGATCAGTTCACTCACAGGAGTAGGCCACCTGCTATTCATTCAAATTCCATGGGGGCTCAGACTGAGGGATTTGCGGGTCAGAGTTAAGCCCCTGTTTGGGGCAGGGGTGAAGCTGAAGCATAATGAGGGGCACTCTGCCCTTTAACCTTCACCCCAGGCCCCTATCCCTCATCCCAGCTGATGCCCAGTAGCAGGAGTTGCTGCCTGCCAAGCTCTGCTCCAAGGGGGATGTGGGGATTTGATGTCTGAGAACTCCTGGGAGAGATCTCTCAGGTGGGGACCTGCCCTAGGTCTCCTGGCCTCCCACCCTGACCCTCACCCCAACCCCAGTGCTGGCTCTTGGACCCCAGAGACTCTGAGCCTCTCATGAGGTTTTGCCCGTGAGATCTGGGCCTCCCCACCTCTCTGCCTCTGCACCCTTGGATCCACAACAGCCTTTGCTAAACCCCTAGCCCCAGTGGGGGATGTGCAGGGTGCAGGAGGGGTGGTTTACAACCAGACCAGGACCCTCAGGGTGAAGCATGCAGGACAGAGAATGCACACACACAGGTGTGCTGTACCCAGCACAGAGTTGGGCCGCTCCTGGCCCTGCCAGGGGCTGAGCCAAAAGCCCCCCACTCCCCATCAGCTGCCACCAGCCCTACCTCCCAGGGAACTCTGAGAACATGCGTGGTCCCAAGGCCGGGCTCAGCTCCTCCCAGCAGGAGGCCCGCATTGGGGTGCATGGCAGCTGCTCTGCAGACGTCCACACTACACTAATCAGGGTGACAGGTCCCTGGGTCTCCACCCTGCTATCCCTTCCCTCCCCTGCAGCACCAACGCCTGACTGAGCCCCATAACCCAGCCTATGACCCTGAGTGGCCCAGATGGAGAGGGTGGGGCCTGGGGTGGGGGGAAGTTTCCAGGGAGAGGGAGGAGGAGCAAGGCTTCTCGCCCTGCAGGACCTTGCAGGCACCCCAGTGCTTAATGGCTCACCCTGCCCCCATCTTGCCTGCCCCATGCTCTCAGCTTCTCTTGCTCAGGGTCCTATGTAGGGCCCCAAAGTGGGTACTCAGGAAATAGTCCTTAAAAGCCTGAAAGGGTAGGAATCCTGGAAAAAATTATCCACCTTGTTCTTAGTGCCAGTAGGTACCAGCCCCTTCCCATTCATTCTGTCAATCATCCATTTTCAAATTCATCATTCATTCATTCATTTATTCAGGAACTCCCAGCCTGGAAGAGGAGCTGAGACACCTGGCTGTCCCTGGGGAGAAGGCTGAGGTAACCACGGGCCTGGGGTATGCCCTCCTTTTCCCCATGACAGTCCTCCCTTTCCAGTGGGCTGGTTTCTCTCCTCTTTTTTTTTTTTTTTTGTGAGGAAGATCAGCCCTGAGCTAACATCTGCCAATCCTCCTCTTTTTGCTGAGGAAGGCTGGCCCTGGGCTAACATCCGTGCCCATCTTCCTCTACTTTATACGGGACACCGCCACAGCATGGCCTGACAAGCAGTGCGTAGGTGTGTGCCTGGGAACGGAACCGGCGAACGCCGGGCCACCGCAGTGGAGCGCACGCACTTGACGGCTTGTGCCCCCAGGCCGGCCCCAGGTTTCTCTCCTCTTGCCACCCCCTCCCCATCCGTCCTGGGCTTTTTTCTGCCTTACTCCATGTCCCAAAGCGGCTGACCTCAGCCTGTGTGAGCTGGGCTCCCTTGGCCTCTGAATTCTGGATGGATTAGGTTAATGGGAGGCGTTGGCAAGAGATAGGCGGGCAGGAGGATGGAAGAGATGGTGCCTCGACCTTGCTGTGGCCACAGGTCCTGGAGGGCAGCCCCTCCGTGGGTGGTAACGGTTCCGGCTGATGCTAGGCCCTGGGTGCCTGGAAGTTCCCCCGTGGCTTACCCTGTTCACACCTCTGCAGATGTTCTCAGCTTGCCTCGATTTAACACCATCTATGTCCTGCCAGAACCCCGCCTCACACACTTCTCACCTGGAGCCACCCACACTGAGAGTGGGCCCTTTGTCTGGGTCCCTGGGGCCATTCTACTAGTCCGGAAGTCTGATAGAAGTCACCAACCCCCCAGAGACAATGCTCAGCCTCCGGAGAGCTGAGAGGAAGTGTGGAGAGGGACCATAGGGACAATTGGAGCTGGACGGAAGAGCCGGCCTGGGGGAGGGAGAAACAGAGGGCCGGGGCCCAGCAGCACCCCTGCCTCTTTGAGAAGGACCTGTTCTTTTTCTTTTCTCTTCTTTTTTAACTACTTAGAATTTTTATTTTAGACTTACTTCAAGAGTTCCTTAAGACATATTTATCATATACTGGTCTTTTGCTTGCATAAAAAAGAAACTACAAACTAAATAAATTTATTAAGCTATTCCTAAAACTTCTTGACGTTTAGAATTTGGATCTTCTGAATCATTTTTTAAATCTTTGTTTTACATACAATAAAATTCATTCTGTTTAGTGTCCAGGTCTGAGCTTTGGCCAGTGCAGAAAGCTGTGTAACCACCACCACCACCAAGACAGAGAACTCTCCCCATCACTTCATGCTGCCCCTTCGTGGTCAGTCCCTCCCCACATGCCACCCCCTGTCTGTTCTCTGATCCTGTAGTTTCTCATGGGCCTGTCCCTAAGGGTGAGGCAGCTGGGGAGCGGGCAGCCTCTCTCAGGGGCCACCATCATTCCCTGGGCACATGAGCCACCTTTTCTTCACACACAACACCCCAGGGCCTGAGTACGAGGAAGGAGGCCCCCAGCAGCCAACTCCCTCTACCCTCCCCTCACCGCATGTCAGGCCCAGGGGAGGGAAAGAGTGCTAGGCATGTTGGGGGGGCAGCTGGGGTGGCGGATAGCCCCAGGGAGCTCTTGGGTTGCCAGAGTGCAGGAATCTATGTGCCTTCCTGGCTCTGCCTGTCCCGGAGACTCGGTGAGGACAGCTGGTCACAGTGAGTCAGCCACCTAGAACCAACAGAACATAGGACGTGCTCCACGGAGCAGCTACTGCTGTGTGTATATTATTATCACTTCTCCTATGGGCCAGGCACTGAGCTAGACCTCATCTTCACGGCTGAAGAGTAGTTCTTTGTTGCTGACAGTATGGTATTAACCCTATTTTACAAAAAAGGACACTGAGATTCAGACAGGCTGAACACCTCGCCGGAAGTTGCACAGCTAGGACCTGAACCCAGGTCTGTCTGACTGCAGAGAGATCAGATGTCACTCATGGCTTGGTCTGGTTCAAATCCCAGCACCTCATTTTCCTGGTTGCTGTGTGCCTTTGGGTGAACTGCCTAACCTTTCTGAACCTCAGTGACTTAATCCATAAAATGAAGGTAATGCACACTCCTGCCTTGTACAGTTGCCATGAGAATCAAATGTGACCCCAGTGTTTGGTGCAGAGTAGGTTACATGTGAGATATTACAGGTTAAATTGTATCCTCCCCAAATTCATATGTTGAAGTCCTAACCCCCAGTACCTCAGAATGTGACCTTATTTGGAAATAGGGTCATTACAGATGTAATTAGTTAAGATGAGGTCATTAGGGTGGGCCCTAATCCAATACGACTGATGTCCTTATAAAAAGAGGAAATTTGGAGACAGAGATACAACACAGGGAGAGCATCATGTGAAGATGAAGGCAGAGATCAAGGTGATGTTTCTACAAGCCAGGGAACACCAAAGATAATAGAGTACGAAGAAGTAACCTGAGTAACTTGTTCAAATTGGTGAGATTAGCAAGTTACTCAGCTTGCTTGAGAATACTAGTAATGCCCACTTCAGAGTGGCTGGTTGTGGCAATTAAGTGCAATAATGTACGAAAAGTGCTTAGTGGTGTCTAACAAGTATTAAGGACTTGTTAGTATGATCTGGTTGTCTTTGCTCCTCCGGTCAGCCCAGCGTGTGGCCTGCCCTCTCCAGAACACCACATCCATTTCCAACAGGGCCTTCACCAGGCCACTGCTGGCTCTTCTCCATAGTTTGGGATGGGCCGTTCCTCTGCAAGGGGCCCACTGCCCTGCTCTCTCTTCCCTGACCCCTGAGCCCCGAACTGCAGGATTCGAGGATGCAGGATTGAACACACTTGCTTTCTAGATGGCTGAGTTCCAGGTGGGACCCAGGATCCCTGGGCTCACTGTCCATGTGCCCAGTCCTTTCGGGCACTCCTGTGACCTGCTACTTCAAAGCCTTTGCAGAGAGTCGAGGGGCCAGTGAGGAGGCCCCCGTAAACTCTTTCCTGCCTGAGCAGGTGCCTCTTTCTTCTTCCTGTCTCGCCCCAAGCTCTACCCCATCGATGGCCGCCCGGACAAGCTGTCAGGCCATGTCAGCCTCCCTGCAGCTTTGGAAGGGCTGCCCCAGGAGAGAGTGAGGAGGATAGGCTGAGAGAAGTAGGGGGCACATGGTCCTCAGACTGGCACAGATTAGCGGAGACTCCTGAATCCCACATGCCCACCAGCACTGCATGGCTCCAGTCTGCCTGGCACAGGAGTCTGGGTGGGCATCAGGGTTCCAGCTGGCTCCTGACTTGGAGAGCTGCAAACAATGAGGGTCCAGGATGCTGGCCTGGTAAGAACTCCTCCACCCCCAGACTCCCCTCCAGTGAGGCCTGACCCCCTCCTCCTCTCTGGGAAGGACCAAGAGATCAGAGTGGGTCCTGCCCTAGGAGCCTCCCAGGGTCCTTCAGCCCCAGGGCTCTCTGTTTTCTTGACTTCCCGCCCTGTCCCCAGAGAGGGGCAGCTGGGGCACCCCTCCCACGGTGACATGTTGAGAGGCCACATGGGATGAATGTCATCCTCCCTTGCCCCCTTCCCATGCCTTCACACCTCAGCTACTCTAGGCCAGAGGGTACCTCCTCTGGAGTCTCTTCCCCCCCATACGGGGGGGGCTCTGTCATCTCCCTGCCACCCTAAGGTCCAGATGTGAGCTGAGGAGAGCCCCCTATGCCCTTGGGCTAACCTGGACATCCTGAACATAATTGAGTTCCCCTCTCCTTTCCCACCTCAGAGGGACAACTGTCCTGCCCCAGGGAGGATCTTGAGCCCTGGTTCTAAGCTGCAGGGACCTGAGATGGATCTGGCTGATAGGCACTCCAGAGCCTGTGGCCACAGGAGCCCCACACCCCACATCAGCAATGGGTGGGCCTCGTGCGCCTTGACGGAACCCCTCTCCTTGGGGGAACACCTATGGACTCTGGGCTTCAACCAGGTCGGTTTGGGACAAGAGAGGACACTGAGGTCCACAGCTGGATCCTATGGGGCCAGGGTGGCCTCTGTCCCCACAAAGCAGGGGCCTAGCCATTCTGACTGCAGGAGCCCTGGAAAGCTGGGGTTTCCAGGTTGAACTTCCTCCTCTTCCTTTTCATCCCTGTCCAGGTGCCTCATGCTCTATATCGAGTCCTCCAGACAGGCAGGCAGGATGGAGACCCTGACCCTTTCCGTGACAGAGCCCCGCAGTGGGGAGGGAAGTGGTTTGAGTGAAACACTGATCTAAGCAGATTTTAGAAGTGTTTGAATCAGACCAAGTGAAGCTGAAGGGGGCGGGGTGGAGGGATGAGGATATCTGTTCGAGGCATCCTGGTGTCTAGAAGGAAGACGTGAGCAGGGAGAGAATCAGCAGAAGGACCAATGACGATTGCACCGAGAGGCAGGGCAGGGGCGAGGCAGCACGGTAGTGGTGGTGGTGGGAACGCTAAGGAACTGAGCTGAGCTAGGAGCGGAATCCCAGGGCAAAATGAGATGTTTCCACCACCTTTATTTGAAGGGGTGGTGAGAAACCCAGGCAATAGTGAAACCCCAGGATCTGAGAGTTTAAATGAGAAAGAGACACAGAGACTGGAATTTCTGAGGAGTTCCTGAGGGTTTCAGGGCCTGCTTGAGCTGTGGGTTCAAGGTTCAGAGCAGAATCCCTGGAAAAGGGGTGCGAGCCAGGATGCAGGGGCTCAGGGAGAGGTAAGGTGCTAACCACCAAGGAAAAGGGAAGTAGCATTTGTTCTTAACAGGGGCAAAGGAGCAGAGAGCAGGGCCTGGGATAGATGAGGGCGTCTGCACAGCTTCCTAGGCCTCAGGCCGTGTGAAGAGAGTGAAAGAGCTGCAGACTGGAAAAGCGAGGGACATGAGGTCTAGAGGCGTCCATGTGACAGTGCTAGCCAAGTGGGGGAGTTCCAGGTCACATCCCAGAAAGCTCTGAGGAGGCAGCAGTTAGTAAAAAAGAGGGAGGAAGCCCCAGCTGTGGTGTCCTGGGCGTCGATAATAATAAAGCTACCACTGTGTGTGCATCAGAAATGGCGGTATGCGCTTTACAGGAGCCAGAGTGGCTGAGTTAACACCTAAGTCACATCATGTCGTGCCTCTTCTCAGCCTGTACAATGACCCGCGAGGCACCCCCTAATTCTGTTACTTAAGCATTTACTATCTGCCTCACTCTATAGAATGGAGGCTCCAGGAGGGCAGGGGGTTTAGAAAAAATAGACTTTTGATTGCCACTTCACCCTGGGGTGTAGAAGGCGCTCACTGAGCATTTATTGAATTTAGGCCTCACAGCCAACCTGCAACAGTGATGTTATCACTCTCACTTCATGGGTGGGAAATGGGGTTTCCAAGAGAGTCCGTGGTTTGCTCAAGGTCACACAATTCCTGAGTGGCAGAGCCAGGGTGACTCAGCCCTGATGAACTCCAGAGCCTGGTGTCCAGCCAACAAGTTCCCAGAAATGGGGGGTATCTGAGGGACAGGCCAGCCTGGGGAACTCCGAGAGACTGAGGGGGTGGGTCTCCTGGAGGGGATGTAAAGGCAGCTGCCATCTACACAGGCCTGCGTTGAAGAGGGCAGGTTCAGAGTTGGGGGGGATCCTGTCCAGCTGCCCCTTGCACCTCTGTCTTCTTTCCCTACCACTCACACTGGGCTTCTTTCAGTTCCCCTTTGTGACACGGCTCCCCCTCAACACACACACACACACACACACACACACACACACACACACACCCAAGCAGGCGTGCACCCTGGTTTCTGCCGGAATCAGAACACTCACCACACCCTCAATCTGAGGGCCCAGCCAGGGGAAGTGGGGGCAGGGGCCATCTCACTGTTGGAAGTGAGGGGCCTGGACACTCATCTCTACTGAGGCTCCTAGAGCTGTGGAGGCCAAGTGTCCCTGTTCTCCATGTGCCCCGGCCCCCGGGGGGGAACTGGGAGTCGCATGGGGGTCGGAAGTAGCCTCACTTCTCCTTTGCTTGTGCTTCACACAGACACATCGGAGGGAGGAACCATTCCATTTTGGAAGAGCCCTCAGCCCCTGCCCCTTCCACCCCATGCCATGTCTCTGGCCCAGAGTGGTTCTTGGCTCAGGTTCCCCTGCTCTGGTCAAGCAGGACTGGAGCTGAGCAGAGCTCCTGCAGGGCCCCCATTGCTAGACCTCAAGCCAGTGCTGTTGGCTGACTAACATCATCTCCCCCTCACAGACAGGGAATAGATTCACAGGTCCTGCCTAAGGTGAACCAGCGTGAACGCAACGGAGATGAAGGCAAGCGCCAGTGCAGGGTCCCTTCTTCCTCACACAGCCCCTGCATGGCTCTTGATGAGGTTCAGAGTCTGAAAGGGTGGGGACCTCATCCAAGCAAGGAGGACAGTGGTGGGGAGAGTGGGGTGCAGAATCCTAGAGTCTCGTGGTCCCTCAGACCATGTGTGGGACATTTGATAATAAAAGAAGGCTCTTCTTGGCTATGACCCCAGATGCATTTTCTGGATCAACATAGAATATTTTTCTATTAAACCTAATTGATCTCCAGTGAAAAAAGTTCCCATTTTGGGTACAGCACTTTCAATTAAATAGCAGTTTAATTTTTACAGAAGGAAATAGAAAACAATCTACCTAACCACATTTTCCCCATCCACACTTTAAATTTTAAAAAATATGAAATAGTGAAATACTCAGCAGATACAAATAACAAAATACTTATATATAATTATATTTCCATTTTATATTAGGGCTGGGGGTGGGCGGGAGAGGGATAGAGATGCAGAAGAGAAGAAAAAAGACATTACATAATAAGTGATGTTACAGATCAGGGGTAAAGACCAACACGGCTAGTCCTGAAGGGACAGGGAGAGGGAGGGAAGGTTAAAGTTCTGATTTATCAACTACTACTACTGGATTTGTTAAAAACACAGGCTCTAAACTTTAAAGGGCAAATAGTACTATCTGGAACTTATATATTTTAGTTGCTATCTAAAATTTAATCACCTCACTTGAAATTTTTCTTCATTTAAAAAAATTTTCTTAGGAGAAAAAGTTTAGTAACTTGTATACGTGGGAGAGACTCAGGAAAACTGAGTAACTTCTAAAAATATTTTTAGTAAAAAATACCATGGAAAACAATGAAAAGACAGGAGTGATCCCTGCGTAAGCCGATGCAGGTGGGAATCAGACACTAAAATCATAAGTGAAACCAGCGAGGACGAGCTTTGCAGCTCAGGAACCGGACCCAGGAGGGGAAGTCAAGGTAGGCTTTCCTGAGGAGGTAGGTGATGCTGAAACAGAAAATCTGAAGAGCAGTCGTCACCAAGCGAAGAATGTTCCAGGAAAAGGAAGGGGACATGTGAAGGTTGCGGCCGGTGAGCAAGGCCCATTTATGGAACCGACAAACGTTCAGAACGGCAGACGGTGGTCAAGGCGGCGGTGAGCGAAGAGGCGGGACAGGCGACCACGGCGCGGACCCTGAGAGGCCCCGAAGCTGAGGCAGGCAGGTTCGGGACTTGAGAATTGGAAACGGACAGAGAGGTCTGAGGATTCTTGCCTGCAGGCACGTCGAGGAGTGGGTGTCCGGGTCTGGGTGCCAGTGGCTGAGCGTCGGGGTGACCCTCGGAAGGGGCGCGGGCGGGCGGGGCAAGGGCCGCGGACTGTCCATCGGTCCGCCTCACTGCGCCATCCTATGTGGCTTGGTTGATGGCCTGTGTATGTCCCAATCCCGAGCTCCCAGAGGGTCCGGCCAAGCACTGCGGCAAGGTGGAGTGGGGACCCGGGTTGTCGAATGACTATTTTGCAGTTCCAGATTGCCGAAGGAGCCCAGTCGTCGGTCCAGGCCACCACGCTGCCGGGCGTCTCCCCGGAGGCCCTGGGCTGCAGGGGGGTCCGGTCTGGCTCGATGCTCAGCCCGGGCCCACGGTCGCCGGGTCAGTGCGGGGGCCCCAAGGTGGCTCCGCGGGGCAGGGCGGGGCGCTGTCCGCGCATCCAGGCTCGGCGGCCCCGGCCCGGGGGCGGGGGCGGGGGCGGGCGATGCGGAAGTGCCCGGCTGGTAGACCAGCTGGAGGCGCAGCTCCGGGAGAGGGCAGCTCGGCCCCGCCGCCCGTCCCGTGCTCCTGAGCGCAGCCACGCGGGCGCACAGCACACAGGTAGGTCCTGGCCGACGCACGCTCCCCTCCGCGCCCACGGGGCACGGAGGCGGGCTGGGGACTGGAGCAGGGCGGGTGCGCGGGAGGGGTCCACGTCTGGCTCCGCCTGGCGCCTGAGCTCGGGTGGGCGCCTACTGCAGGGCGCGCCCCGCCGTTCTGGCGGCCTCCAGGTGCCTCCTATGTCCCGATCAGCGTGGGGTGCCCTGCACCGCAGCCATCGTCCCGCAGGCGCCCCAGGGAGGCCCTGGCGGCGGAGTCGGCACCGCTGCCAGGGGCACCAGCTCTGCTGCTTCCCTCCCTCCGTCTTGCCATCGCCAAGGATGGGGAGCACCCCGGAGTCTGGCTTGGACCGTGGAGGGGCGAGCCCCAAGTCTCCCTTTCCGTGCGCTCTCCATCCCTCTTCCCAGGCACCCCTCACCCTTTCGGGTAAGAGGATGAGGTTTAAAGGGTTCGTCCTCCCGGGATCTTAAGGCCAACGGCAGGAATTCGGGCAGTGTTTGGGAAGATGGTGTCAGGTAGAGGCGCTGGCCTTTGACTCGTGTCCGGGAGAAGGAGGCGCTGACCCTCCTAGCAGAGGAGTACTATGGGGCGCAAAACTTCTTGGACTACTTTCTTTACGTCCTTCCCTCGAACTTCAAAACGAAACAAGAGTCTAAAAATGGAGGGAAAATGAGACTAGTGTGACCATGATGCGGGGTAGGAGACGGCGAACACCTGCGCGGTGCCCCCAGCGCGGTTGTCTCCAGGACCCCCCGAGAGCCGGAGCTGGTACCCGAGAGTGGGGGTGGGGGCACTTTCCTGGCCTCGCTGCCACCCTGGGGCACAGCAGGGCAGGGAAGAGGGCGGGGGTGTCACCAGCCTGAGGAGCTGTCCGAGACGCAGACCCTAAGCCAGCGCCCCCGGGGTGGCTCCGGGGTGGCCCGGGAGGCGCAGGTAATCCGCCCGGGGCCCAACCTGCGGGGGCGGTCCTGCGGGCAGGGCCTGGACTGGGCTCCCGGCGCGCCCAGAGCGGGGATAGGTGAGCAGGACCAGAAAGGACGCGGGCGGGGCCGACGGAGGAAGCTAGAGGCCCTTGGGGCGGGCAGCCGGGTCGGAGGCAGAGTCCTGCCCTCCCCTGAGCTATCCGGCCCTGGGCAATGGGGCTCCCAGCAAGTCTAGGGAGGCACTGGGAAACCACCCTTTTTCACCTAAAGGCCCTACTTTGGGGGTTTCCCCCCTGCACTCCAGCCTTCCCCCACCGTGCCCGTGGGAGGAAGCCGAGAGAGACTCCTTCCTGCCGCCCCAGAGCCTCAGCTTCTCTCGGGGTGTGGTCAGCTCACCTGGAGGGGGCAGGATTTAGGGTCGCGCCTGGTGCAGGGAATCCCTTGCCTTCTCCCTGAGCTTGAGTGGGATTTGCGGGGAGACGCTGTGAATCAAACAAACTCGGGAGGTGGCAAGCAAGGGGCTTGCTGCTCCGCCCACTACTGGGGCTGCAGAGCTTCCAACCACCTAGGGGTCTCCGTTGCGCTCAGTGTTTCAGGTTCCTCAGGTGACTGGCTCCTGGGACTTCAAGGCCTCGGTGTGAGTTGTGGGGCGTCCCCACCGCAGTAGGGGCTCCTGGGCTGCCCCGCTAGATGCTTCACTTATGGGAGCTTCCTCAGGTCCTCAGCAGCCTACACCTATTTTGAGTTTCCATGGAAACTGGTGCTGGCGCTTTGCGCCCCCACCGCACCCCAAACCGCAAAGCCGGGTCTACGGGGGGCTGCAGAGAATTCACCCCTGAGAAGGCAGACCTGCTCAGCTGACAAGAGTCAGGGCAGACCCTGGTCTGCCCTGCCCTCTGATGGAAAATCAAGCCCTCCTCCCAGCAGCGGGGAGGGGATGTAAGATGGACTTTCTGAGGGCTGCCTACAGCTTCTGGGGTCTCCTGGGAATCTGGGCGACTGCTTCTATCTAGAGGGAAAGTAGGGATGGGGTACAAAGGTGTTGAAATTCAGAACGCTTGGCATTAGGATGGTCTGAATCAGAGCTAAGCCCGCCTCCAGGCAGGAGGAAGCCTGGTCCTGGTGCACCTGGCTGCAGGCAAGCCCCCTGACGCTGAAGACCCTTTTGTGCTGGACAGACCCTCCCTTGGCCCTGGTGGGGCTTGTTGTGGGAGCCCATCTCCACAGCCCCTCCCTAGGCTGCTGGAAGGGGCTGCATCTTCCTGACATGAAGCCAGACTTACAATTGCAAAACCTTTGTATTGAACAGCAGTGCTGGGCCGGGCCGTGCGACAGGACTCACCCCGACTTCCTCCTTGCCCTGGGCCAGAGTAGACCTTTCTGGTCTCCCAACTGTACCACCCAGCACAGCTGCAGGCCGACCATGCGTGGGGGGGTCATCCGGGAAGCCTGCCTTCCCCTCCGTGTCAACAGAGCTTTCCTCTGTCTGCCTTCACTTAGCCAGAATTGCCTGCTACTGGTGACTATCGCCCCTCTATTCTAGGACCAAGGCCTTACAGGGGGGTTGAGGGGGCTACAAATGCAAATATGGGGATTGGGGCTACCCAATGATGTGAACCTCGCTAAATGTACAACGACCACCAGCAGGGTTGGACCTTGGGGGATTGGCTATGGTGAGAGATTGAGAATATGGTCTGGGGGACCCAAATGTGAATTTTCTCCACTTCCCTTACTTCCCCCAGTCACAGTGAGACAGGGTTCGGAGTTGTCCGGTCTGGCCACTTTCATTTCCCCTGGGGCTGGGTGGAGGCTGGTGCAAAAAGGGGAACTGAGCCAACAGTCTTCTGAGGCTTGGGGGCAGGGCTGGGAGCTCTCCCACCCTCCCTCTCCTGGCCCAGACCTGGGCACTGCTCTGAGGAGAGGCCTGCAGATGGAGATTTCTTCACAGCCACAACCCAAAAAGGTACCGGGCGGGGAATTTCAGGGGAAACTAAGGCTCAGTGCTCCAAGGCCAAAGCAGGCCTAGAATGACAGAGAGAGATCAACCTCCCACCTAGGCAGGCCAGGAAGCCCACCAGGGCTTAAGTACTCCCAGGCAGCAGCCTGGCTTGTGATTGCGTGGCCTTAGCTGTTAGAAAGTTCTTCTTCAACCTGGGTCTCAGTGGAGGCTGTGCTGGTGTTGACTCAAACCCTGGTCCCTTTGTACATGGTGGTACCTCAAATATTAAGGATAGCTCTATCCCCACCCCACTGTGTTCACTTCACCAACCTGGATACCCCATGTCCTTCAGCCATTCTTTCCCTGAGAGGCCTGTCCCCTTGGAACCTTGCCTGTGTCACAGCGCTGGCAGCCTTCCTCTTGGGTTTGGCCTCACCCCTCTTTGAGTCAGAGGAGGATCCTGGAGACAGTAGGGCTGGTAGGGGGAGAAACATCTGGAGGACAGAATGCTTCTAGCATGTGGAGTGTATCACTGGGCTGGTATTTCTTAAGTTCTACTTTGGTGCAGCAAATGGCAGGGTCCTGGAGTAGGGGGAGTGTGCACGCAGAAGAAGGAAAGAGCGGGAGACACTCCTGCCCTTGAGGAGGCTGCCCGCCTACATGGAAGGTAAACAAAATGAGGGGAGGAGGGCAGTGCAAGGCAGCGGAGTAAGAGGCCCAAACCACTCATCTCAGAGAAGAGTTCAGGGCCACCCATGATGCTGTGGAGAGTGGGGTGTGAGTGCTGGCGTGCCCACCCCATACAAGGCAAGTGTTGGCTCCTGCCTCCACCTCACCCTTGTTCCAGGCAGCATGGCCTCTGGGAAAGACCGTTTGCCCACCCCATCCCTATGCCACCCTCACTGCCAACACCCCCTCTCCTTACTTGTGGAGGGGATGGAGGTACCAATGAAGCGGGAGAGAAGCATGGTCCAGGGGGCAGTGTGTGCCCTCTTACACACATACATGCATGCCCACCTACTCACATGTGCTGAGAAACTAGAGCCCCTGGCTGGGGGCAGCCTGGTTTCTCGGCTTGGCTCAGCCCTTTGCTCCTCACTTGCTGAGTGACGGATTCCCCTCTGAGTCTCAGGAGGAAAGGCCTATGATGGCTCAGTCCTTTTTGCCTCTGACCATACGCTCACAGGTTAAGAGCAAGGCCAGGCAAAGGCCGGAGAGAAACCGCAGGGGTAGGCAGGGGTTCCACGTGGCCAGCTGGCCTCTGACTAGGGAGGCAGAGACTGTGGCCCAGGGAGGTGGTGCTCGCTCCCTGTGGGGAGCCTTTAGACTTTGCCTCTGTAATTCCCGCAGCTCCATGCAGCATGGGGCCTGGCAAACATTAGGTACTTACTAAGTGCTGAATGAGTGTATGGTTGGTGGGAGAAACCAGAGTCTAGGAAATTGATGGCTGTAGAAGGGCAAGATCTAAGTTTGGTGGCTGCCGTCCTGGTGATGGAGGAGGTAGACTGAGTTGGCTGATGGGATTTCTCTCAAGATGTCTGGGTGCAGGGAAGCTTCATCCCTGAGGGAAACTGAGGAAGAAAGGAAGCTCTGAGGACTGGGTTCGGAAACCCTCCATCCATTGACATGTTATGCTTTGGTCTTAGGCTGGGTTTCCTAGAAGGCGGGTCTTCTCTGAGGAAGGGGAGGGAGGGAGGCAGGGTGGGGCAGGAAGAAGCAAGGATGTGGAATCGGCTGGAGACTGGCTTCACCCTGACCCCATGGGGAGCTCTGGAGCAAGCTAGAGACTGGCTTCACCCTGACCCCACGGGGAGCTCTGGAGCAAGCATAGCATCGGTTTGCTCCACCTGAAGCAAGGGGTGGAGCAAAGTGTTCCCCCGGGTGGAGGGGTGGGCCTAGCCTGGAGTGAGGCTGCCCAGGGCATTTCTCACGGCAGCTGGGGATTGATGCGCTGTCTGGTAAAGGATGTCTGGGTGGGGCACACATGACATCCGCTACAGCTTTGTAAACCCCTCCTTCCTTTCCCCCCAACACAAAGCACAGATGCAGTGACCCTGTGACATGAAAGCTGATGGTTGGAAAAGAGAATTGGCCTTGAGCACTTGGACAACTGGAGAGACTCCAGCCCTGAGTGCTGGGAGGAAGGGAAAGCCCTAACGACCCCCTGCTGGGCCCCCTGAGTGCCCCCACATCAACCTGCTGCAGGGAGCGTCTAGCTGCAAATCTGCTGATGCTCCCCCTCTGGCTTTCTCCTGCAGACCTTTTCGCCATGAACCAGCCTGCCCCCGGTGCCGCCCCTCCACCCCGCCGCGTGCGGCTGAAGCCCTGGCTGGTGGCCCAGGTGAACAGCTGCCAGTACCCAGGGCTTCGGTGGGTCAATGGGGAGAGGAAATTCTTCTACATCCCCTGGCGCCATGCCACGCGGCATGGCCCCAGCCAGGACGGAGATAACACCATCTTCAAGGTAAGACCTGGACGGGGTATACTGCCTGGACCTCTGAGGCACCCTCTCCCTAGAAGAGGACCCCTCCCTACATCTCAGACTGGCCACTCTCCCAGCTGCCTTGCTGCCGGTGACCCCAGGCCTAGACTAGGGGGACGCAGGCATAACCACAGGATACACCTTTTTTAACCTGATGCCCAGAGCAAGGTGGGGACTGAGGGGCCCCCAGGAGACCTTCCTGTAACTCCCCTCCTTCTCCTTGTTCTTGCCTCCTTCTCATTACACGTGAGTTACACATTCAGTATGCACATTTGGTGTGCACAAACACTAAGAGAAGACCACAGAATTCCCCCTGGAATCTTAACACAAGGAGATAACTACAACGACTATTTTTTGCTTATATTTTGTTTTCTGCATGTGCATGTATATGAAATGCAAAGATGGAATCAAACCATATATCCTGTTTTATAACCTGCATTTCCACCTAACATCAGGACCAGCTTTCCTCTCCAACATGTGCCATGTCACTTTTAGTGACCACTGAGCATTCCGTTGGAGGGGCTTAGCACAGTTTAGTCCCCCAGTCCCAGTGTCTGGACGCTTTAGGTTGCTTTTAGTGTTTCAGTGTTGAAGACCACATTGCTGTGGATGTCCTCTAAACGCTTACCCTTTGGCACGTCTTAAATGATTTTCTTTGGGGTTAATTCCTAGAGTTAAACATTGCTGGATCAAAGAGAACCCTTATTTGGATATATATTTGGCTTTGGATATGTATTTCATAGTCTTTGCACTTGATATTTACCTTTTCAAGGTTCTTTTCAAATTTGTTTCTTATTTTTAAGTAGGTAACACAGTCACACAATTCAAAATTTAAAGTGTAAAATGGTTTATAGTAACACGTCTCCCTCCCAGCCCTGTCCCCAGCCACTCAACCCCTCCCTCCATGCAATTAGTATTATCAGTTTCTTCTTTATCCTTCCAGAGAGGTTTTTGTGCATATTCAAGTAAGTATGTACCTATCATTTTCTCCACTTTTCACAAAATGATAGATGTATACATAATCTTCTGCACCTCATATTGCTTGAAGATTGCAACATGTTGGTATATCAAAAGCTTCCTCCTTTTTTTTCTTTGCTGCCCAGTATTCCATTTTAAGGATTGGCCATAATTTAACCAGCCCCCACTGATGGACATTTAGGTTATTTTGGGTCTTTTGCTTTTATAATGACCCATGAATAACCTTGTGCCTGCAGAATCTTGTGTGGGTGCTTCTGTATCTGTAGGATAAATTCCTAGAAGTCAAATTGCTGGGTTAAAGGGTAATAACATTTGTAATCCTGATATCAACCAAATTGCCCCCCAGAATAATCATACCAGCAGCTAAGGTATGCAGAGCCCATCCTAAGTGCAGGCACAGTTATGAGAGCTTTATGGGCCTTGAGTCTTCACTACCCTCGAGTCTTCACTGCCACCCTGTGAGGTGGGCACTATGATGGGGAGACCAAAGCAAAGAGAGGCAAAGTGACATGCCCCTGGACACAGCTGGTGGGTGGCATTTTCTGTATTCAAACCCAGTTCCGCTCCAGATCCCGTGCTCTTTTCCACCATGTTAGGCCGTCCTCTTTACCCTCGCAGGAGCAGTGAATGCAATGCCTTTCAAAACACCTAGACTTCCTTTAGCTTGTTGGAGCCCTGTGGGCTAGGAAGGACTGGTGTCATATCTCCCGCCTTGCTGAGGGCCACTCAGCTCGGCCAGGCTCTGCTCCATTGAAGGTCTCCCTGCACAGCAGCCACTCCCATCGGCCGGGAGGGGTTGGGGCTTTGGTGAGGGACGAGGTTCTCTGTGGTCGTCTGCCTTCTCTTCCTGCCCCAGGCCTGGGCCAAAGAGACAGGGAAGTACACTGAGGGGGTGGACGAGGCCGATCCAGCCAAGTGGAAGGCCAACCTGCGCTGCGCCCTTAACAAGAGCCGTGACTTCCGCCTCATCTATGATGGGCCCCGGGACATGCCGCCTCAGCCCTACAAGATCTACGAGGTCTGCTCCAATGGCCCCGCTCCCACAGGTATCACGCCTGGCCCTGTGTGGGCTGTCTAGGAGGCTGTGCAGGAAGGCCCAGGGCCCCTCGAGCGCACAGTGGCCGGGGACGTACTGCTAGGTGATAACACCCAGGGCTCCCAGGAGTGGCCAGGGATGGACCATTTGTGGGGCCAGGAATGGCTTGGCATGGACCAGGGCCCCAAGTCTGTCTTCCTCAGCCCATCCTTGTTCTTGGCTCTTGGCTCCAGTGAGTGTGAGTCTGGTGGCTCAGGGAGCTGAGTGCTGTGGGTCGAGGAGGTCCCTGGTGATTCCTGGTGGCTGTGCGGCCCTTCACCTTCACCTCACTCTGTGTCTGGGCAGGGGAGAAGCCACAGCAGGAGCTGCCACATAGAGCCCCGGTGGCCTTTCTCCTTCTGCCCCACTGACTCCTCATCTTTCTTTTCTCTCCCTTGCTCTGCAGAGTCACAGCCCAGTGAGGATTACGCGGTTGGTGCAGGAGAGGAGGAGGAGGAAGAGGAAGAGGTGAGCTCCGGGCCATTCTTCCAGCATCTGCCTGCACTGTTGTGGTGGGCCTCGTGAGGGTGTTTCAGCTGTCCTGCTCTGCTTTAGGATTAAGCAGTCCCATTCCTCTGCAGCCCTGCTGCTCTTTCTGCAGCTCTTCTCTGAGTTTCTTCTCTCGGGATTCTGAGGATAGGAACGAACTCACCACCTTGAACCCCCCCAGGGCTTTGTTGGTACAAAATGTGCTCGCACATTGTCTCGCTGCCCCTCGCAGCAGTGGAGGCTCGGCAGGTGTTACTACCTGCAGAAGGCAGACGCGGAAACAGGCGCTGAGCGCTCACTGACCCGCCTGGGACCGCACGGCTGGGACTGCAGGCAGTGTCTGGCCTTGGCTAAACTGAAGACAGGGGAATTGCGTTGTGGTTCTCATGTGTTATTTCTTTAGCATCAGACCAGTTTAATAACCTGTCCTCCCTTCTCTCTCTCTGGCCTCTTCCCTCCTCCTCTGCCTGTGTCTTCCCTTCAGCTCCAGAGGATGTTACCAAGCCTGAGCCTCACAGGTGGGGCCGGGAGGTGGTGTGGTTGGGGGCCTAGTATAAGGAGAAGGTGCAGGTACCATAGGTCCTGGGAGGGGGCTGAAGGGAGGCCCAGGGCTGGGAGAAGGTGGACCTGGGAGGCTGTTCCTAGAAGTGCCATTAAAGCTCTGTTCACCCCCACCCTCTGTAGAAGCGGTGCAGCCTGGTCCCCCCATGGCACCCTATTCTTTACCCAAAGAGGATGTCAAGTGGCTACCCACTCTCCAGCCGCCTGTGGTGCTGGGCCCCCCTGCTCCAGACCCCAGCCTTCTGGGCCCTGCCCCTGGCGACCCTGCCGGCTTTGGGGAGCTTCTTCCTGGGCCCCTGGCTGCCAGCCTGCCTCCTGCAGGCGAACAACTCCTACCTGACCTGCTGATCAGCCCCCACATGCTGCCTCGTAAGCACCCATGGGCGGGCTGGGCAGGGTAAAGCAGTGCTGGGGGGTTGGTTTGCAAGGAGGGTGGAGGATGGTGAAGAAGAGAAGACAAGGACGCTCATGCCAGTCCCTCCTTGGGTGGAGGATGTAAGTGGGAGAGCTGATGAGATGGCGTGGCCATTGGGCAGACAGGGCAGAGAAAGTCAGTGGGCTGCAGAATGGAGGGGCGCGGGGCTCACGGACTGGGCGGACCTGCCCCTCTGCTCCACAGTGACTGACCTAGAGATCAAGTTCCAGTACCGGGGGCGGCCACCCCGTGCCCTCACCATCAGCAACCCACACGGCTGCCGGCTCTTCTACAGCCAGCTGGAGGCCACCCAGGAGCAGGTGGAGCTCTTTGGCCCCGTGAACCTGGAGCAAGTGCGCTTCCCCAGCCCTGAAGACATCCCCAGCGACAAGCAGCGCTTCTACACGAACCAGCTGCTGGATGTCCTGGACCGCGGGCTCATCCTCCAGCTACAAGGCCAGGATCTATATGCCATCCGCCTGTGCCAGTGCAAGGTGTTCTGGAGTGGGCCCTGCGCCTCAGCCCATGGCTCACACCCCAACCCCATCCAGCGGGAGGTCAAGACCAAGCTTTTCAGCCTGGAGCATTTTCTCAACGGTGAGGGCCCCGCATCATGTTTCTCCTGGCCTCCTCTCATCCAGGGGCACTGTTCTGGCCTCTGACTAAGGGTCTTGATCTCTCTGTAGAGCTCATCCTGTTCCAGAAGGGCCAAACCAACACCCCACCACCATTTGAGATCTTCTTCTGCTTTGGGGAGGAGTGGCCTGACCAGAAACCCCGAGAGAAGAAGCTTATCACAGTACAGGTGTAGTACCACCGCCCCCCGCCTGCCACAACTCTGCTTTGGCTTGAATACTGGCAAATCCTGGGGCTAGGCCCTTCCCCAGGGTGGAGGCTCAGGGCTCTCTGGGCAGTGTGAACTTGGTGGCCAGAGATAATCAAGGCCTAGGGCTGCCTACACATAAGTAGCCTTTGTATGAAGTAGAAATTGGTGCCCCTTCCTCGTGGATGCAGTCCACCACCCGCCCGCTGGTGGATGCCCTCATGCACAACTGGATTTGACAGCCCTGCCAAGGTTCTCCCTGTCCTGTCTCCTCTTTGCCCCCCAGGTGGTGCCCATAGCAGCTCGGTTGCTGCTGGAGATGTTCTCAGGGGAGCTTTCTTGGTCGGCTGATAGTATCCGGCTACAGATCTCAAACCCAGACCTCAAAGACCACATGGTGGAACAGTTCAAGGAGCTTCATCACATCTGGCAGTCCCAGCAGCGGTTGCAGCCTGTGGCCCAGGCCCCTCCAGTGCTAGGCCTTGGTGCCGGCCAGGGGTCGTGGCCCATGCACCCAGTTGGCATGCAATAATGAGGCTGCAGATAGTGAATGGCCCAGGCTTCCTGGGTGGCTGTGTGGACTGATGTGGAGGTGCAATTGCCCTGGTGGGCACCTAACTGGCTGCAGGGTCCTATCTCTGGGTCTCCTGGAAGTAGATTTGGGCCAAGAAGGAGAGGGAAGAGGCCCAAGTTCCAGATTCTCCCTGCATAAGCTGAGAGAAGCTGGAAGCCAGTTTTGCCCTGAGGGCTCTGTCTTCCTGGATGTGCCTCTCCTCTGCTAGCTCTGGTCTGGTGGCTCTGGAGGAACTCAGCCATCAGCACCAGCGAGCAGGGAAGGAACTCCCTAGACCCTGGGGGCCTAGTTGTACAGAGGGAATTGCCCCAGAGTGGCTCACTCTTGTGGTTGCCCCCATTTCCTCTGGCAAAAAGATCTAAGTGCTGTGGGCCAGGTCCCCCTGGCAGGGCCTCTGCAGGGCGTGGGCCTGATTTTGGGGTTCCCTAGTTTGAGCCTCACTTCCTCATCTTTCTCCCTCCTGAGATAGATATGAGCACTTAGGTATTACACCAGATACTTAAGACTGGCAGCTATCTCCTTTCTTGAGAGTCCAAGAACCTGGGGTAGAAAGTAGAATTTTATGTATTTTTGGAATAATAAATGTTAAAAACAGACTCAGCTATTACTTTACTTTTTCCAGTACCAGTTGCTTCCATGCTGTTCTACTAGACCCAATTTCTTTTTTCTTTTTTTTTTTTGTGAGGAAGATCAGCCCTGAGCTAACATCCGTGCTAATCCTCCTCTTTTTGCTGAGGAAGACCAGCTCTGAGCTAACATCTATTGCCAATCCTCCTCCTTTTTTTTCCCCAAAGCCCCAGTAGATAGTTGTATGTCATAGTTGCACATCCTTCTAGTTGCTATATGTGGGATGCGGCCTCAGCATGGCCGGAGAAGCGGTGCGTCCGTGCGTGCCCAGGATCAGAACCCCGGGCCGCCAGTAGCAGAGCACGCGCACTTAACCGCTAAGCCACAGGGCCGGCCCTAGACCTGATTTCTGATGCCAGCTGGCCCTCTTCCCCTAGTACCTGCCCTCCATCTCTGGGCCGTTGACAAAGGGAGGGGCCTGTCTTCCAGGCTGATGAGTCAGTGAGGCCTTCATAAGCACTCACCTGGCTGGCTTTGCTTTCCAGGAGGAAGCTGGCTGAAGCAAGGGTGTTGGATTTTCAAATGTGTGCAGAATCTAAGATTCTGTCCAAATCAATTTTCCCATAAGAAATGGTGAAAAAGGAAGGGCTAGTATTTCAACTACACTTAGGACCATTACAATCTGTTATCCTCATGTATATTCATATACTATTAAATATACTAGGACAAGGCATGCAAATCGGTTGAATCTGGCTCATAGGTGTAATTTTCTGGCCTGAACAATTTCGTTGTTGTTGTTTACCTTTTTATTATGGAAGATTTTAAACATTTGTGAAAGTAGAATGGTATGAAATCGCCATGTAGTACCTTCAACAATTATTCATTATAGTCATTCTTTCTCATCTAAACTCCCATCCACACCCCACCCTGCGATTATTTTGAAGCAGATCCTAGACACAGCATTTCACGTGTAAATAGTCAACATATATATATATATGTCTCTCTCTCTAAAAGACAAGGACATTCTAAAAAACAAAACCACAGTATCATCCCACCTAATGGGAAGAAATTATCAAATATCTAGTGTTTAAAAATTTAAGACAATTAGAGAAATTTTATTCCCTTGCAACTTAACTGTGGAAGAAACCAATCACCGTGTTTGTTCTGCATTTCATTTTTGCCCAGATGCTGCCGATTGCATCTCTGTCGCGTTAACATGATTTGTCTCCTTTATTTCCTGTAAATTGGTACTTCCGTCTCAACTCTGGATTCTAGAGGCCTAGTTGGATGCAAGTTTTTGTTTTGACTATACCTATTGGTGGGTATTTGAGCTGTTTTCACCTTGTTATACATAATGCTGCAGCAAATAGGCTTGTGCATACTTAATGCATACTTATGTCCTGTCATATTTTTGCCAGTGTATCTTTGGGATGGATCCTCAGAAATGGGATTTCTGGGCCAAAGGATAAATATGTTTGTTACATAAATATGTAAATATATTTTTCTAGATATTGGCAAAATCCTGATAAATCTATGAATGTGCCTGTTTCCTCAGTCCCACCAACAGACTATATTGTCAACTTTTTTATTTTTGCCAGCCTGACAGGTGAGAAACAGTATCTCGGTGCCACTTCTCGTTATGAACAAGGCTGAGCATCTTCATATGGTCAAGTAGCCTGTGCAGATTTTTTTTTTTAAATAAACAATTTTAGAATAGTTTTAGGTTTAGATTTTCAGAAAAGTTGCTAATAGAGTTCCTATATACCCCACACCCAATTTCCCCAATTTGTCACAACTATGGGGCGTTTGTCACAACTAATGAAACCATATGAATACGTTATTATTAACTAAATTCCATGCTTTATTAGTTTTCATCTAATATCTCTTTTTTGTTCCAGAATCCCATCCAACTTATCACACTACATTTAGTCATCATGTCTCCTTAGCCTCCACTGGTCTGACACTTTCTCAGACTTTCCTTGTTTTTGATGACTTTGATGGTTTTGAGGGTACATTTTAGAATGTCTCTCATTTTGGGTTTATCTCATGTGTTTCTCATGGGTTTTGTAAGGAAGATCACAGAGATGAAGTGTCATTCTCAGCACGTCATATCTAGGGTGCATACTATCACCATGATTTACCACCATGTTGATGTTGACCTTGATCACCTGGCTAAGGTAGTGTTTGTCAGGTTTCTCCACTATAAAGTGACTCTTCTCCCCCGCTTTTCCATACTGTACATATGTACAGAGGTTTCAGAACTGTTAACTCTTTTGTCTTTAATCTGTCAGTCATTTACAAAAGTTAGCACCTTTTCTCCCCACTGGCCTGTGCAGTTCTATTTCCTCTTTAGATTGAAATTAGTTGTCAATGCTTTAAGATTAAGGGATCTCACAATCTGATTTCTAGCTTCTCTCAAAAAATTGGCAAATATGGAAACGTTGTCTTACATCCCCCAATGGCAATAATCAGCTGGAACTTTACATGGGAATGTCCTCCCAGTTCAATACAGTCCTCTCGCAGCCTGCTTCACTCCTTCCACTGTCGTGTCCCTGAAGGCATTTGAGTTTGCAACCCTTCATGAATGGTGGAGCAGGGAGACTGAGAATAGATGAATTACAGAAGCTTGGAAGGAACATCTGCACCAGGCGACCACTCATGGACTGTCTTCTCCAATACTGCTGGCAGCTCAGTGGCTGCCAAAATCTTCTTTGGGCTTCTACTTACTTTTTGATTCCTTAAAAATAAAATAAAAACAAGGGCCAGCACGGTAGCATAGTGGTTAAGTTTGCACGCTCTGCTTTGGGGGCCCGGGGTTCGCAGGTTCGGATCCTGGGTGCGCACCGATGCACCGCTTATCAAGCCATGCTGTGGCAGCATCCCATATAGAGAAAGATGGGCACAGATGTTAGCCCAGGGCCAACCTTCCTCAGCAAAAAGAGGATTGGCAAAGGATGTTAGCTCAGGGCTAATCTTCCTCACAGAAAAAAATAATAAATAAAACAAAAACAGCACAACTGGCTGTCATTTCCTGTAGATCTGTGTGTCGTAGTAGCCAGTTGTGGACGAACACTACTCAAAAGAAGTGACAGACCAACACATTCTAGAGGTCAAAGGCAGGACAATGCATGGTGCAATTCACTGCTCCCTAGCTTCACTAGAGTTCCGCTTGGTAGTGACTTTTGACTGCTCTGGTGGCTCTGCTAGTGTTTAAGTTAGAATCCACAGAACACTGGTGCTTGTGGCCCTGGGCAAACACATCCCACTAGAACCCAGTAGTTTCCCTCACTTCCTCCAAGCCCCTCCTCCTCACCAAGTTCATCGTTGTATCCAAGTAAACATTCCCTTTTAATACAAGAATCCTTTCACTTATTCAGCTTTTCATTGACATAAAGAACTTTTCAGTCTTCATAGAGTAGGAGGGGATATTGATTGCTTCTTCCCATTTTTTGTCAGAGGAATGTTCCTGACGGCAACTTTCTCATTTGCTGGTAATATATCTCAAAAAATTAGGCACATCTTGTCGCATAATCTTGGATTTTTAACTTCTCTAGATTTTGGCTTTCATCTTTGTAAAATGATTCAGTTAAACAAGGGTCACACAAGGTGGACACATGCATTGCATTCATGAGGTATCGATGACATTCAAAAGCAGAAGTTCCTTTATGTCTCATTTATCCTACATTCTGTCACTATCTTTATAGAACAGGTACATAAAAATCACAAGTCGCTTTTCTTTAGTACAATCTTGTTGGGAATAGCCCCAGTGGGTTTTTGTGTTCCACATAATCATGACTAAAATTTCTTGGATAAGCCAACCATGGAAATGAGACGACAATTCTGTGGAGACTTTACGACTTAGGTAAGTTCAGGTGCAAGACTCTCATCCTGCTTCCACTAGACAACGTCATGCAGGAATACAGTATCTACATTAGGGTACCTGATCCCAAACAGTTCCTTTTTGAATTAACATTTTGGTGGGTATCCCGGCTATGCCACAAAGTAATAAGATTCTTTGTAAGAACTAGTCTGAAGCAATCTGTAAGACTCACAGTAAGCAGTGAGGCCCTGCCACCATTAATAAGAGTTCTGGTTTTCAAAGCTACAGCTGTGGAGAGGATGTTCTTGACATTAACTAGGACACGCATTCCACATGCTATTTTTCAGTGGCTGGAGAGAGTTGTAGTAAGCCTTCCACTTGTTTTTCAGTCCCAGAAACAACTGTGAAAAAAGCCAAATTCCTTAAGCAGAGCAAAGCCAACTACCTGTTCCAAGGACCTAGGGTTGGACTAAGCTTCCAAGTTTTATTGTTTAACTAGAAAATGAGAGGATGGCTGTGGTAATGTGCTGATCCCCAGAATTCGATAATCTCACTTGAAACACTGTTTCACATTCAAGTTTTTTCCTCCTCTTCTAATAATGCCTCTTTAGGGAGTAAAACTCTAGTACCACTGATGTTATGCAGGAAGGTTTGTTTCACTGATTCCAAATACTAGATGCAGCTCTGCAGTCAAGGTAGCTGAAAGCCCAATTACTATAACATACTGTATGATTCCATTTATATAAAATTCAAGAAAATGCAAACTAACCTACAGTGAGAACAGATCAGTGGCTACTTGGGCATAGGGGAGGATGGGAAGAGGCATGAGGAAACTCCCTTTGGGAGTAAAGGGTATGTTCACTATCTTGCTTGTGTTAATGGTTTCACGGGTGAATTCTATGTCAAAGCTTATCAACTGTATACCTTAAATACGTGCAGCTTGTATGTCAAGTATACGTCAATATAGCTTTTTTTTTCTCTTAAGAAGATTCTCCCTGAGCTAACATCTGTTGCCAATCTTCCTCTTCTTGCTTGAGGAAGATTCACCCTGAGCCAACATCTGTGCCAATCTTCCTCTATTTTGTATGTGGGTTGCCGCCACAGCATGGCTGACCACGAGTGATGTAGGTCCACGCCCAGGAACCGAACCCAGGCCGCTGAAGTGGAGCACGCCAAACTTAACCACTAGGCCACAGGGCCAGCCCCTAT